TTTATTATTAATAATAAAATTTATATATAATAATTTAAAATTAATATTATTATATATAATATTATTTTATATAAATTATAACTTTTATTTTATAATTTATAATTTATTTATTAATATTTTTTAAAATTTAAATAATTAATTATATATATATTAAATAAAGTAAATTTATATTAAAATATAATAATATTTAAAGAAAAGTTATTAACGTATAAAAAATTAAGTTAATAAAAAAAAAAAAATATTAAAGTTTAAAAAAAGTTAATTGGTTATATTAAATGGTAAAAATATTAAAATTAAATAATTTGTTAAAAAATTAAATAAAAAAATATTAAGCTTTTTTAAAATTTAAAAAGTAATTTTTTTTATTATTATTAAATTTTATTTATTTAAAAGGTAAAAAATTTATAATTTATTTTATATTTTATTTATTAAATTTTATTATATTAATAATTAAATATTATTTAATTTTAATTAAGTTTTATAAAAAGTAATTTTAATAAAATTTAAAAAATATTACGTAAATAAGGTTAAAAATTTTATATAAATTTAAAAAAATATAAAATATTTAATTAAATAAAAAAGTTAATTAATTAAAAAATATTAAACGTAAAAACTTTTTAATTATTTTAATAATAAAAGTATTAAATAAATAGTTTTAATATTTTATTAATAAAATTTAAAAAAGTTGGTAAATTTTTAAGTTTTATTAAAAAAAGTTATATTTTTTATTTAAAATTTTAGCTTAAAAATAAGTTTAAAAAAAAAAGAAATAATATTATATAAATAATAATGCCAAAAAATTATTAATTAAAAAAAATAACTAATAAAAAATATAAAATAATTATTTTAAAATTTATTAAATAAAAAATATTATAAAATTATATAATTATATATAAATAAAGTTAATATATTAATAAAGATTTAGCTAAATTAAAAAATATATATTTTAAATTATTTATAAATAAGTTAAAATCTTTTTTTGGAAAGAAAGGGAAAATTAAAGACCTTAAAACCTTAGAAAATTATTAGTAATCCTGATTATATTCCAAGCCCCTTACAGCCTTTATTACAGTGCCTCTATTCTTGCTATGGATTAAACACGGTGTAATCCCGAGATTCACCAAGCCGTCCTTTAAGCCGGAAATGGTGCTCCCGCCAACATTCGTCGGTACTATTTCTCTCCCGATCTGCCTCTTCTGGTATGGATGGACGGCGCGGGAAAGCGTACACTGGATCTTGCCTATTATAGGCTCTAGTTTGTTCACCGTCGGTGTGGTCACGCTCTTCAATACCGTGTTCAACTACCTAGGGATCTCATACCCTGCATACGTCGCGTCGATATTTGCAGGGAACGCACTCTTCCGAGCCTCGTTTGGAGCTTCATTTCCTCTTTTCGTAAGTTTTACACTGGAGTTCACTCTTGCTCCAAGTCTAACACGTATATGCGCCTAGGCACGAGAGCTCTTTCGCCAACTCGGTATTGGTCCCGGTAATTCACTCCTTGGCGGCATTGCTATCTGCTTCATTCCTATTCCTTTCATCTTCTATCGGGTGAGTTTAATTCAGCAACCTTTTCCTAAGTCACAAAACTAATCATTAGGTAGTACGGTGAAAAGATTCGTCACATGAGCAAGAATGCTCGGCATGATATCTGAAGAGAGCGCTTGTAGCATGCTGTAGAAACTCCGAGTCTAGTCCCCAGTGTGATATTTTGAGTAGCTCAAAAAAAATTACCGAAAGGAGGATAGGAAGGTTGATAATAACTTTGATAATATGGTATGGAATTTTAAGGCCGACGGATGACCGTACGTTGGTGGCAGTATAGCGATTCAAGTTGTAATGGACATCGTTGGTAGGTAGGTAGACTCTATTAGTTTGAACTTGTTTAATGGAATCGAAACCGTATGTAGATCTCGAAGTCTTGGATGCAAGAAAATCGCGGTATCTAGAAATAAGAGTTTTCCACCAAGGCTTGCCCTAAAAGATAGAATTGAAACTTCATATTTTCGACTAGATTTTCCATTTTCATACTTCGAACAATAGGAAACTTGAATTTCAAGAATGCTCTAGTTAAGGAGTGGTTGTACAGATTCGCCTTTCAGGTTTTTCAATTCTTGAGTTAACAGTTAGACTTGAGAATTCATAGGCCAAGAGAATACATCATAAAGCTATATTTAACAGGCACGAACACCAAGTGTCATAATTCCCTTCCATCGAGATTCTTGACTTACGCTCTTACAAGTTTTAGATAAAATTTTCTCTTGTGATCATTTCTCTACATCAAGTTTCAAAATCCCCAGTGACGTCGCTGAATATATCCAGATCTCCGGGTTTTCACCGAGCCGCGCTGTAAGACCGCAACCAAAGACGCCGCACTTAGCTCGGCATCTGGGTCTACGGGGTTAACTCGCTCGGATTGCTGGTATTACACCCAGACTCACATTTCGGCGCGGCTCGCATTCACAGAATCCTTCCAGTATACTACCGAATTGGGAAATCCCATTAGGAACCTGATCGGTTTCTTCCTCGCTTTCGTGGATAGACGTTGGCGTCAGCAATCCGGTAGTATACCGGTTCTAAGTAATACAACGCATTTTGGCGCTTCGGAAACCCTCTACTAGACGTCCATCAATTGACGCTTACTCATTGTACATAGCCATCCACGCTATGCATTGTACTAGGAGGTATACTACGCCAATATGGAGAAGGGTGAAAGTCCCGCATCGTCTTCGGGCTATAAAGAGGTTGAGATGGAGACCATCATGGAAGAGATTTGTCCTCACCAGCATCATCAGTCAACTAAGCAAAGATACCAATAAGAGCATCATAGCCTTTTCATCAGCCTTTAAGCATCATCTAGTTAAAGAGTATTAAAGACTTGTTCTCGCTTTGAGAAACTTGAACAACCGCCCTTGATATCCGAACCTAAACCGAATATCAGTATCAGTAACACTTACAACATGAGTAATCAATTTCAGTCCATCGAACAATTCGATTTCATCGTCGTCGGAGGTGAGTTTAATGTAATGAAAAGGGGACATGAATCCTCAACTGACACCATCTATAGGAGGTACTGCCGGTTGCGCCGTCGCCGGCCGTCTAGCTGAATCTCCCAACGTCCGCGTCCTGGTCATCGAGGCCGGTATTAGCAACCCGAAAGACATCGACGCCATTACGACCCCGGCTCGGGCTTTCGAGCTGCGCGATAGCAAGTATGACTGGGCTTACAAGACAACCATGATTGATCGTCCCGACTATACACGTGTCGAGAAGCCCAACACACGCGGCAAGACCCTTGGTGGTTCTAGCTGTCTCAACTATTACACTTGGATCCCCGGCTCGGCTGGAACTTTCGACGACTGGGCTCCTTACGGCGGAGACGAGTGGAAGTGGGACAATGTCCGGAAGTACCTTTATAAGCCGGCGACCTACCATGACGACAGGGCCCTGTTTAGTGAGGAGCTGAAGTACATCGGTACCAACGGCCCCATCCCCGTCTCGCATTCGGATCTGGTTCCTGAGATAAAGGGCTTCCGAGATGCCCTGACTAAGGCATGGACTAGCAAAGGCGGAGAGCTGACAGACGACGTCCACAACGGTACTATGCGCGGTCTCTGGAAATGCACTAACAGTATTTATAACGGTAAGCGTTCCTCGAGTTGGCTTTACCTTGAGGGTAAGACGAATGTCACTGTACTTTCCGGCACCAATTCCAAGCGCCTGCTCATCGACGCCGCTACGAAGAAATGTGTTGGCGTCGAGGTAATTCTACCCTCAGGCGAGACGCACAGCTTCAAGGCCAAGTACGAAACCATCGTCTCATCCGGTGTGTTTGAGAGCCCGAAGCTGCTTATGCTCAGCGGAATTGGCCCGAAGGCTGAGCTGGCTAAGTTCAACATTGAGACAATCGTCGATTCACCACATGTCGGCCAGAACCTACTAGACCACCCTATCCTCCCGCACGTCTTCCGTATCGAGGACGGCAACGGATTTGACCAGCACCTCCTCAGGGCCGGTCTCGAGCACGATGCGGCTGTCAGTTCTTACCGATGGAGGAACCAAGGTCCCTACACTTCCGGTCTTCTCGAACTAGTCGGTCTCCCGCGTATCGACGAGCGCTTGATGAAATACCCCGAGTACGTAGCCGCCAAAGAAGCCAACGGAGGTCTCGACCCCTTCGGTCCTACGGGTCAACCGCATTTCGAAATCGACTTCGTCCCCATGTTCAGCGACGCCTTCCAGTGGCACATCCCGACTCCGCCTAAAGGAGACTACATGACAGTCATCGTGGACTTGCTACGCCCCCAGAGCCGTTCAGGCACAGTAGAGCTCAACAGCGCAGACCCGCTGGTGCAACCCAAGATCAACCTGAACTTCTTCGCCGAAGACCTGGATATCCTGGCGATGCGCGAGGGCGTCCGCTGGGTAGACGACGTGCTGATGAACGGCGAGGGCATGCGCGACATGATCCGCGAGGACTACCCGTGGCCGATGCCGCGGACCTCGGACGCGGCGATGGACAAGATGATCCTCGAGCGCTCGCAGACGGGCTTCCACCCCTGCGGAAGCACACGCATGGCGCCTAGCATCGCGGAGGGCGTCGTCGATGGTAAACTCAAGGTGTTTGGTGTTGGGAATCTGAGGGTCATCGATGCGTCTGTGATCCCCGTGATCCCAGACTGCCGTATCCAGAACTCGGTCTATGCGATTGCCGAGAAGGTATGTATTCCCGAGCGAGGCTCTTCTTTGAGCTTGTAGCTAATTGGGTGATTATAGGGCGCCGATATGATCAAGGCCGAGTATCCAGAGCTATACGCTTAGATATTTATCTCTAAGGGATGAGATATCTCGCCTTCGAATGAGAGTATGGTGATTGGGGGTTAAGAAACTGTTGGCTTAAGTTTGCGTTAACTATGGATGAATCATGACTGATAGATGGTAATAAGTCGAAGAGAGAGAAAGAGAGGGGGGGAGAGGGAGATGAAGGGAGGAGGATTCCACTTGGCGCATATTACTCCTTTCTTTTGATTTCAATACTTTGCAGTCCGATTTCTTAATTCCAACATGCAGTTTAATCTATTCGAATGTCCCAATACCTACTTATTAAGGGTTCTTAATACGGGAGTGTGCAGCAGGTAAACGAGCTGTCACTGGTTGTTCTGTGATTGCGTGTAGGTCTCATATTTTCATACATCCCCCTTTCACTCGAATCTTCACTTTGTATGATGGTATTTTCGTCTTACCTCTAGAAAATTCGTTGAGGTGTTTAAACATGAGCTAAAATATGTATCAGCAGCAACGTTCGACCCCGTCTAATATCGTCTTGATGCTATAACTCAAGGGTGTGGTAAGAGGCCACTCTGCGAACGCTTAGCTTGACCCGTACCCACGCTGCCGGTAATACCGCCAACATGGGTCACTATGTAGTATTAGCATATGATATGGGCTTCTCTCCCTTTCCCTCGTACCACGGAAGACGACCGGGAAGAATAATTACCCAATGCAAAATGAAGTCTCCCCAATAGCTTGCTTGCCTACTCCATAAAGATTACATTTATTTACGATGTGATTGGTTCAAGATCTTTTAACTAAAGATTACCTTTGATAATAAGGCTACTCGGAGATGACCTCCTTATTCACGTGAAATATGAAAACGGGTAGAAGGATGACTTAGCCAGCTGATAGTCTCTCAATCTGCGGTCCGTCTCATTATCGGTTCCCGGCCGAAGCCTTCAGATGAACAGATGAAATAGGCCTTCGGCGATGATAGCGCGAAGGAAGTGTGGCTGGTAGCGATAATGAACCGGCAGAGCGAATCCAATAGTGTCATAACTGCCCTGATGGGGATATGGGGATGATTTTATTCAACTCGATTTTCGCTTTGGTCTGTCCATTCCGTGCGGCGTTGGCGCTGGGCGGATCGAGCGTTACTGAATCCGGCCAGGCGTCAGCGCTTCGGTGAAGACCGTTGATACCACATCACCCCATCGTATCGTGATCGACCACGCAGAATCACCCCACGTCTAGCATCTCTTAGACTTACATGACGAGAAGACGGAAGAAACGAAAATGACGATAGAAGAAATCAAGAAGCTTATAATGTCACCGTTAAGTCTGTCCGTCTTTCACCATGTTTCATCACAGCCTGCAACACAATCAAGCTTATATTACATCCACATAACTTCACTCCGAGTTACAAGTACTGCATCTGCATGTACCTTCATTACTCGCTACTAAGGACACCACTTCACCACAAAGCCCCTATCCACCCAATCAAAACCATGGCCATCGCACACCCTCAAGGTCTCCGCCCGCATATGCACGCAGCCGCCAGAGCTGTCCCACCCACAGCACCCAAGCTCGGTCCTGTATCATCAAGGTAAGGATGCCCCAATATATACCCCTGGCTTTGGTCTAGAATCGCTGTGGATATACGCTAACACCCAGCATAGAATACTACCAAGCCTCGTAGTAATCGGAGTTGGTCAGTCTCACTCTACTTAACACAGCACTTAATATGTTTCATTCGTTCTCATTTACTAACATTAGCAAAAAACAGCTTACACCGTGGGTTCCTACGTCCGCTCGCAGCTACACCGCGAATCCGGCGCCATGGACCGCATCTTCTCCCAGCAGAACACGCCCGAAGTCGAGAAAGCGCGAAAAGCCGCCCTGCAGGTCGAGGCCAACGGGGACCCGCGAAACAACCTCCTCAACTTCCTGGGCTGGTCGTGAAATATGGGGGAATTACGGGGGGTAATATAATTAACTGAAATATATGGGATCATCTTCAAAAGGGGGGCTAGAGTGGGACAGACACTCTGAGTCTCTTACTACTATTATATCCGCTTCGCATAGCTGGGGCGTTTGGGGAACTATTTTATTTGGAATCACATTATAATACGCCGGTATCGTTCGAGATCGAGATACCCGGTGTGCCTTGTATATGAAAATATCATATCTACACCTCGCACAGAGCGCAATTAAACTTTCATTTATATTTATTAAAATATATCCAGGATGCCGTTTTCATCTCATGTAGGTAACTATGCGATGAAACACTTGAGTAACACTCCAATCGTGATCTACTGAAACCTCTCAGGTTCCCGTTCCTTGCCACCGCTACCGCTGGGCTTGGCGGCCGTCGACTGGGGTACTGCGTGTCCGCTCGCCGTAACCGCATCGTCGTCCGCGTTCTTGCTTACGCCGATAGGGTTATCAGCCGCGCTGTGTAGTGAAGCCCCGCCGATTCCGCCGGAAGCATCTTGTGATTTTTGGCCTGGGTTGGGCACTGATGGGATTATGTTCTGTTTTCCAGCATCTCCAGGAACTGTGGTTCGCCTTGTTAGTTACACGGCTAGGGTAATCGAAGGGACGGAATAGAAGAAATACGGCGCTTCAAGCTAACATATGAAGGTTTACTTACTGCTATTGCCATCCTTGGCCATCTGGTTGAGATCACCGCCTTCCTTGGACATTTTGCTTATTACGGTGAGAATACGAGATTCGGGTATTGGTGCGAACTTAAAAATGTAACTAGATGTAAGTAAATTCTTATAAATAGAGTTAATCTAGGTAAGTAAGAGTAAAGAATTGGTATAGGCTGAGGTCGTGATGTCACCATTATACCCCTTTCCCTCCATTCTACGTCATGCAGCCAATTACTCGAGGGATACGGCGCCGCAACCAGCATGAACGGATCAGGACGTAAATGAGACTCCAATCAACAGATTCAAATTACTAAAAAGCTATCAAATCTGGTCTCGCTGCTTGTCTTAATGGGATGCGTGGCAAACAATTATCGCGATCTCACTACTACAGGGGTATCAATCGCTGACACTTTCGCAAAACTAATTACGATTAACTATAGTTACTACATCTATAGAGGTACTTAGCTATCTGATTATAACCTAGTGCTACAGAGTTACACTTAAAGAGCTTTGAGCAAGCCCTCGTGCTTAACAACCCAAGTTCCATCCTTGGGAAACCCTGGGGCGTCACTTTCAGAGCCTTCCCAACCTGCCACCATATATCCGATCGCGTAGAGGAAACTACCTCCTCCTGGGAAATAAGGCGGTGGTGACGGGTCTAAATTGTATTAGAGTTAGACATATATACAATCAAATACTAGGATCTCTGATAAATGGGGAGACAACTTACTAGGACCAGATCGAGTAGGCATTCCTACGTCGTCGAACGGCCAGTAACCATAGTTCGTCATATGGTAGATGGCGCGCTCAGGCTTCCCTACTCGCGCAGAGTTGATGGCGAGAACGGACCGTCCCCATCCTCGGATATTCTCGTCGGTCCAGACCTCCCACATTTTATTAGAGGTCTTGAGGCCAACTTCTGAATCGACCTGTAACTTCGAGTCAGCAACTCCATTCACCGGACGGGATCCTGAAGGGGGGGTGGATATTAGTAGAATGCTACTAACCGCCGGTGTATCCGGAAGGATGCCCTGAAGCATGATAACGCTACGCGGGTCTTTGCTGAGCTTCGGGTCTTCCCACCACGAGCTGTTCAGCCCCGAACCCTCCCAGGGGATATACATCCCGTCGATCTGAGGCGGAGGAGCTAGGTTATCTGCGACGGTGCTCCATTTCTTAGGAACAGGTTGGCCCAGCTTCCTCCTCCAGCCTGCTGCCGCATCTAAACCCCAGCGCCACTTGATAGCGAGAGTCAGCGATCACGTACTAAAGGGGGGGGGATGAGTCTCCAATCTTAGGTAGGTACTTACATAGGCAATTTCATAAGCTAGATTACGGGTCTCAAGCGGGAAGGAGTTCTCAGTTACACCCTTTGATGGCGGCCCAAGATCGTAGTGTCCGGCGGTTTCATTATACCAAGCAAAAGACGCCATGTAGTCAGCAGTCGCCGTGACAACGCGGTCCCATTCCTTTAATGTCTGTCGCGTCGGCTTGGCCTGATAGGCAAGGTTTGCCAAGTACATGGGATGGGGTTGCTGCCACATCAGATACGCTCGGGTCTCTCCCGGAGCGATGCCTCCGGTTCCGAGTTCCGTCATCTTCGGCCATCGAGCGCCATCCCAGCCCATACGCTGAGTCCTCGCTTTTGACGTAGGCATCAACGTCTCATACATCGCGGGCAATATCTTGTCGAAGTACTGTTGTCTACCCCATGTGGCCCAGTGTGCACAGTGCCAAACAACCATCTCGAGGTGGAATTTCCCCCACCACCCGTTATAGACGAGGCCACTCTCCTGGGGGATTTGGCCGGTAGCCGCGCTGTTTACCCTCATGTAGTACTGCGTCATGATAATACGCCGTTGAAGCTCGGTAGCGTTGGGGTTAGACGACTCAGTGAGATCGACGAAGCCTCCTTCATTCCAGTACCGATTCCAGGCGGTGGGGTTACGCCTCCGAATGACCGACGGCGAAGCAGGCAGTTCAAGGTCAAGAGAGAAATGGGCAGTGAATGATATTGAAGCCGGCGGATGCTCATATCGGGAAGAAGCCGCTGGTGAAAGCGTGTACCGATGCGCCGTCACCGCGCCAGAGCCCTGGGGCTCGTTCCGCGTCAACGACAATGGTGATCTGCAAGGCCACCGGAGGTTGACGTAATAAGTCGTCTCCTGCATCTCGTGATATATGTGTGCAATGCCATTCTTAGGTCCGTTGGGTGCCGTCACAATGGACGTCGTGTGATTCAAGGGAAAATCATAGGAGCCCATGAATATTTCGAAGTCTGACGAACCTGACACATTGTGCTTTGGAGGATAAGGAAAATCAAACTCGACTTGTAAGTCCCCGGTTGAAACGAGCTCCGAGTCGATCTGGAAGACGACTGCATCGGAATCGAAATCTCCCTGGGTCACCACCTTGACGTCTTTCCCATCAACTTTAAACGTCGACGTAATAACGCCGTTCCATACGTCTAATTCTTGTCGCGGCTCCGTGATCAGCGACTGCGCGAGAGTACTACCCTTGTACTTAAGGCCGATGCGGCCTAGGTTGATGCGATTGGGGTTCGCGGTGAGCCACTTGGATACTTCTGGTAGATTAGGATCTTCAAGGTCATATGAAATGTTTCTTCCGTGTGTCAACACTTCGACGCCGTGATAATCACTGAGTTTTTCGCTGGAAAGAAGCCGGTTAGTTTGATAAATGCGGAAATCCTGTAGTGTTCTATACGCACCCGTTTGTCGGTAAGGAGTCATCGTGCCAACCCCAACTTGACAGCGTGTTGAAGGGTATGAATGTCTGCATGCCCGTGTTGTCCACATTGAAAGCGAAATCTCCATTTCCGACCTGAAGAGGAGTCGTCTGGTTGGTTATCACTTCTGGAAGTTTTGAGCGAACGACATTGAATCGAGAGACTACGGCATGCCTTTGGTCATGTTAGTTTCAGTTTGACTCGGACGTGTTGGCGATAACTCACCTATCGATTGCTGCGAAGGCCAACGTCGACAGCAGAGAAAGCAGCAGGAGGGATGCCATGCTAGGTCAGCTCCAAAGATGTCCACGAGCTCTGATAACCCATCCTGAAGCTATGCCGTGCTTCTTTCATATTAGTATTTATTATATTCTGTCAACCAAGCTCTTCGGCGTAGACTTTCCCGAATCTCCAAGTCCAGTTTCTTTAACTAAGACCCTAGTCCTAGTTGGCTTCTAGGCATTTGGGGTAGACAGCTAAGCTTCGCTGGCAGTCTGGGGAATGTGGGGAAGCTATCGTAGCTTAGCCAGCAAAAAGCCCTGGTTTATACCATGGTGTTGAATTTGTCATCGACGATGGTCTTATCGCCCGACATAGCCGTTATAGCTACGAGTAGTAACTTAGAAGATAGCTATGAACAATATGTCAATTATAAGACGTCTAGGCACTACCTGGTAAGGTATCTAACCTACTATTCTCTATGAAGCTATCATCGCTTTTCCCCCTTCAACGTTCGGAACCCTCGGCGGGATCCGTGAGAGTTCGGATCGTTGCATCCGATAAAATAAACCATCAAACTTAGTCCAGCATTCTTAGTTGCATTTACCTTCTCATAGACTGGTCATAGACGTGCCTTTCGTGGGGTCAATCTTTACTAGGGGATATTAGAAAGTACCTACCTAATCCATCAAGGCGATATGTGTAAATCGAGGATAAGATCTCTTGGGTCGTTCTGAAGAATATTGCTCCTTTAATTTCCTTGGCGCACGTGTCGTCCAATATTCGATTCCCGAGAGCAACCGGGGTTTTTCTAATCTTCCCCAGGTTCAGTTCAGGAGAACCTCTGTTCAACCCACCTCTTGGCGCATACACCTTTTTTTCTTATACCAAATACAATTTTCAACTCGAGTTACCTCTAAGCTGTGCAACCAAAACTATGTCCTCTTCTTCGTTGTATAGAAGATTAAGCAACAACCTAGAAACCCTCGTGGCTGTCAATTATCACCGCCTGATCGAATAAACAAAGCAAAGATCGGCTCCCATTGTTTGTATTTGACCATGTGTACCTCCAATTTGCACATCATACTCAAGGTCCCTGAAAACTCAACGCGTACACTCTTTGAAGTTATAAACATAAAACTTCACATGTTCCTAAATAAGACCGAAACGTATGCAGGTGATGGTTGATCCGATGACAATGTACTAAAAAAAACCACCGTCTTTTATTACAGTAACTGTAAATAGCTTAAAGCCGCCAAGGATCATCCAGGTCGCAGTCGATTCATTGGCTCAGCCACTCGCGTGTGCCTGGCCTTTGTAATCCAACTTCCTTTTTCTCCTTTGGTTCCCGCTCTCACATACTGACTTGCTGTATCTTGAAATGATCGACAGCTCACTCCTGCAACCCGTTGGTAGCTTATATGGGCAACGTTGCTTCAATAAGGGGTACATTTATATACATATTTCAACATGAACGGACGACACGCGTGTTCGACTCCTCGAGTCGTGGCTAATTAATTCTTTTTTTATTCTCACCCGTGTGAAATTTGTATAAGGAATTATCGGTATCCAAGATGACGAGATTATCCAAGATTGTTGCGGGTGCAGCACTCGCCCCTGTCACGTCTTCTCTGAGCCTCAACATAAACAACCAGGCCTCTATCAAGGAGAATGCAGCCCAAGTCGCAAAGGGTCTTTACGTATATCATGATCCTAGCTCGACGACGGGTCAGTTTAAACAACCGGAACCGTGGTTTTGGTGGTTGTCGGGCTCGGCGTGGAATGGCTTGATGGACTACACTGTATACACAGGCGACACAACCTACCAAGCCGATATCCTGTCCGCACTGGCAAAGAACCTGGGCCCGAATTACGATTTCGTTCCGACCGAGCAGGAGTCGTGGGAGGCGAACGACGATCAGGTCTACTGGGTGTACAACGCCCTTACGGCGCTGGAGTATAACTTCCAAGCTCTACCATGTGAGAAGTCTAAGACCGAAGCAGGCGAGGATTGTGCCAACTCTTGGCTCGCCATCGGCACAAACGCCTTTGAGGACTTTGTGGCGCGATGGAATAAAGACAGCGCAACTTGTGGAGGTGGTCTCAAATGGCAGTTCACTGAGACAGCCAACGGCTACTATTACAAAAACTCCGTGTCTAATGCCGGCTTCTTCCAGACTGCCGCTCGACTTGCGCGGTACACGGGAAACCAGACTTTTGGCGATTGGGCCACCAAGGTCTGGGATTGGTCTACGAGTGTTGGCTTTGTCAGTCCCGATTTCCACGTCTTCGATGGCGCGGGCGATGATAAGGATGCGAACTGCACTGCGATCAACAAGGATGAGTGGAGCTATAACATAGCATCTTACATCCATGGCGCCGCCCACATGTATGCCTTCACCAACAGTTCAACGTGGGAATCGAGAGTGCAGGGTCTGGTTCGCACGGCGCAGAGTACCTTCTTTAGCCCTACATCCAACGCTACTGGCGTGATGTATGAGCAGAAATGCGAACTGGACTCGGCGTGTAACATCGACCAGACTAGCTTCAAGGCCAGCCTGGCACGTTGGCTCGGGAAGACGGCAGTATTGGTTCCTAGCTTGAAATCAGATATCGACGCGTTGCTCGAGGCTACTGCTCAGGGTGCTGCTTCTAGCTGCACCGGCTACGGCAATGCCACCTGTGGTGTGCAATGGTACACGGGCGGCTTTGACGGCCAGTCGGACTTGGGTGTTGAGCTAAGTGCTCTTGAAGCCGTCCAGAGCCTGCTAGCGGCGAGCGCACCGAGGTTTGCAGTTCAATCTTAGTGGTGTGTCTTGTATGTAGTCTTTGCAGTGCAAGGATCTTCTTGTATATAATCATTCGGTTTATGTATGACATAGTATAAGCACGACATTGTATGTCACTGTATATAGGTATCGTCCTGCGTAGCGGGATATATATAGTTTATTTTTCGTAGTCATATACCTGACATGGAGAAAATAGCCCCTTTATGGCATAGAATTAGAAAGAGGTTAGAGCCTTGATCTCGGTGGTTATCTTGTGAGATTAGAGAATCACATACAAGAGTCTTGAATATTACACGCAAACTGTCTTAATAGTCTAACAGCATTTAAGGGATTAGATTCATCTACACCAACACTCGTATCATAGAAGCGACTGACTCTCGAAGGCATGGAAACTATAAACTCAAACCACCAAGGTTAGTAACCCCCTATACCTAGGTACCTACTAAGAGCATCTTCTGTTCCAGATGTCTCATATGAGTAGAATCTTGACGTTTGATCAATATCCCTTACGTACCGTCGGATGTACTTGTATAGATTGAACGTAGTAAAAGCTCTTCCTTAGTAACCTTGCCTAGAAACCTTTAGCTATATGAATTCTACGTCTGATTCTGCTTGCCGAGAGATATTCATCAGAATTCTGCTCATTTCTTCTCTCTTAGCCCCCATCTAAGGATCATGTTAATTATATGCAGCAGCTTCTTACGAGTACGCACCAGGCTTCATTGAGGGGGTTTACAATCACCGTTTTGTGGCTTGTCGAGACAGCCCTCTATTAGTCTAAGGGGTCTATAAGATGTCTAGATTTGTAAGCGTTTATCCCTAGGTTCACAGACCCTAGGTTGAGATGTGTCCCCCTCTTGTATGCAGGAATGGCGTCCACATGCTTTGCATGATAAACCTCCTCCGCTACATAGAATGTCTAGCCCCGGCGTAGCATTCCGGTCGAATCCCTAGCGTTTACCATGCACCAGTTAATTTATCGTGCAGAAGGCAAGGGCTGGTTGATATTCAGCGGTTTCAGCCTCCACTTCACGATTGTATACTTACCTGTTAAACCCTCAAGTATACGACCTTAGACATCCCCCAGATAGCTCGGGTTAATCATAGAGCCCGATTCCATACCCTTGGTCCCGCTAGACGCGGCCCGACCCTTTGAGTAGCTGTGGAACTTCGTCCAGAATAGATTGACGCGGTTATTGTTACCGAATTAATCCAAGCCACATCATGCAAATATGAGGTCTGCGGAAACTATTGGTGTACCCCAGCTAAGGATGAATATTAAAACGGATAGCCACATGGCGTGTAAAAAGCTCATGGTCACGACGGTTTGAGGGGGCTTTCTATCATTGTCAACGTTAAAATTTCTAACGTGTCTTCCGCCATTGTCTCACAAGCCAACCCTCACACTCAAATACGTTATCGTCTGCGAGACCATTCTAAAGCCATGCGGAAATCCCGTATCCAGATTGTCCACTATTCCGTATCATTATTAGTCGAATATGGAGATAGGTTGCCTAAGGATGACGATCTCAAGGGCTCCTTGCCTTGTGGTAGGTATTTCGATACCGCGATCTACTCTTTGCTTTTTCGTGTACCTTGCTTCTTAACCCGTTACACAAAATCTCCCTTTCGACGCCTGTATTTGTGTAATAACGCATGGTATTTTCCCACCATTCTGTCTTACCTACTAAGACATCACATTACACAATGCAATCCCGGGATCTAGTATGATTGCTGAGCACCAAAATTGTGGCTTGAGAACTAGAAATTGAGATAATGTCGTGGAAAGGGCGTAATCTTCGTTATGCCTGTGACGAGATCTGCTTCTGGATTGCCTTTTTGATTCGTGCGCCTTCCCGGTCTATGCCCTGCCTGGATGTTCTAGACTCTGTTCTCGATCGATGTGGCCTTCCAGACTCTAGGAGTTACCTATCCCTAGGTATTGTAGACGTTATTTCTTATTTCTTGTACTCTGATCCATCTCTATCGATGATCGAGTTCCTACTTATAGCCGCGTCTATCGGCGCGAAATCCAGGACTTTATACTCTCTCACCAAGCTAAATTATAAGATTATAGCTATCCAGCGTATGAGAAGAGGACCAATACTCACGATACCGAGAACTACCGGCTGTATTCACTAAGATGGGGTCAGACGATAGCGTCAAGTTCTCAAACGATGAGAAAGTCGTCATAGACCATAAAGAGGAACTCCCGCCTCAATATACCGATGAAGAGTGTAATCGTCTAAAACGAAAAGTGGACAGATACCTTCTCCCGCTGTGAGTCTTATACAAAACCGCTCTTGGACGAAGTTGTTATTCTAATTCTGCTACAACAGTATGTGGCTCTGCCATGGACTCCAGCAAGTAGACAAGGCCTGCGTCGGTACCCAAGCTACATTTGGGTTACGCGAAGATACGGGCCTTGTTGGACAGCAGTTTTCATGGCTGACAACAGTCTTCTATCTTACATACATGTGTTTTGAGATTCCGTCTATCATCCTGCTGCAGAGATACTCGATGGGTCGGATCTTGTCGATATACATAGTGTGCTGGGGATTTGTCGTGCTGAGTATTGGGTTCGCTCAGAATTTTGCGCATCTCGTCACTCTTCGAGCATTACAAGGAGTTTTCGAATGCTCTATAAGTCCCGGATTCCTTTTGGTAATTGGGACCTGGTATACCACGCGAGAACATCCTTCGCGCTCCTTGGTCTTCCAAAGCGGCTATGCCGGAGTGAGCATTATCACCGAATCCATAAATTATGGAATTGGTACCGTCACCCACAGGAACCCGAATTTCGAGGCGTGGAGGTACATGTCCTATGTAAGTTTTCCAATGTTAAAGGGGGCCACAGGCTAATATTATGACAGTTCCTCGGTAGCCTCACGATTGTTGCGGGACTATCTTGTTTTCTCCTCCTCGGTACACCATCAGAAGTGACCTGGTTGTCCGCAGAGGAAAAGAAGATAGCCACAGCTCGCATCCTATCCAATAACACCGGTCACGATAAAACAGGCATCAAGGACTGGAAGTGGGAACAAGTTAGAGAGTGTCTAGTGGATCCAGTAGTATGTTCTTACCTATAACTATCTCTTGAATGTTGCCCTATTCGACTTGAAGAAGCTGACTCAAGAACCTAGTTCTGGATCGCTGGTGCAAATGCCTTCCTAGGATCAGTTCCAAACGGTGCCTTGACGGCGTTTTCGGGGATATTGACCACCAGCTATGGTTTTAGTAAGTATCCCATATTTTACCATACTCTATATAACTTTGATTAACTATAGTATAGCGAATCTACAAAATATTCTGTTGAACATTCCGAAAATGATTTTCTCGGCGCTATTCTTCGTCGCGATCGGATTACTAGTTACTAAGAAGAAGAACCTCCGATTGTAAGAACTATGATATCCTAATTTTTATATAACCTAATCGAATGCGCATCTAGGTGTATTATGGCGCTCTCTCAACTTCCGCCAATTGCTGGCTTTCTCATTATCGCTCTTCTTCCCAATGAGCCACAATACAAATGGACGAAATGGGGTGGACTTTTTATGACTTCAACTTATATAGTAGCCACGTTCTTTGCTTGGTCGTTAATCCCGTCAAACGTCGCTGGGCGAACAAAGCGGACCGTCGTATCATCAGTCACCTTCGTGGGATACTGCGTTGGGAACATGGTGGGCACTCAAATTTTCCAGGCCAAGGATGCGGTATGTCAACCTAGGGGAAGATGGTACACCTAATACTAACAATGTGTAGCCTAGATACATCCCAGGGGCTATTGGCTGTTTAACATGCTTAGGAATCCAGATGCTACTGATCATTTTATGGAGGACCATCCTGGTTATGCGCAACGCGCGTAGGGACAGACGGATGAGGGAGCTAGGAATGTCGGAAGAGGATAGAATCAAGGCTGGCTTGGAAATGGGCGAACGAGACCACACCGACTTTGAGAACCCTTATGTAAGTCCCAGGATATCCACGAGAATTCATATTCGCTAATACGTTGTATAGTTCCGGTACGTGATGTAATGGAATGTCACGAGACCAATATCAAAAATAAATCTGCTCAGTATCATCAGGGGTTATCTGGTGGAGTGAATTTAGTACCGAATACTTGGTGGTTCTGCTATGAATGGTTCGTCCCACCTCGTAAGGGGTAGGCTTAAGAATTATAAATTAAGACACTACTATTGCTAGACGTTGAAATTTATAGGAATTGTCTCCGAAGAGGTAAAAATATCAATAGAGAGATTAGAATGTTTAGTTTACGGGAATGGAGAATTCGTGACTTATAGACCTTAGCTATAAAGTCTCCATAAACAAGCATCTCGGAGACATTCCGTGGACTCCTCGCGAAGTAATTAAAATATGTATCCGACACGACATAAATATATCATTCGGTTCAGTTAAAATCATGTAGTATTTGAGTAATTATTCAATGTTCAAAGATACTATTAGACGTCAAATTATCTTTCGCAGCTTCGCAGGTCTCAAATCTTCCACCAACTCTTCACACATGATAACAACGACGTTCATCGCCAACATGACTTCGGAGACATTAGGCAAGGTAACAGGGCAAGTTCATTTCCAACAAAATGCTTCTGCATACGAAAAACATGCAGGCGGCACCAGTACGCGCCTTGCAGCCGCCGCATTGTCTTACTTACCACTATTAAGTTATTCTTCATCAAGTTACATCCTAGACTCGGCGACCGGGCCTGGCATCGTGGCTAAGCTCCTACTATCGCCGTCTCCAGCAGACGTCTCGGTTCCCGGGCTGCCTGTTTCTCCACCGCCCCGAGTCACTGGCATAGATTTCGCTCCCTCTATGATCGAACACTTCATGGCAAACAAAGCCGCGCTGAACTGGACTACAGCCGACGCCTATGTCCAAGATTCGGAGGACCTTTCCCGGTTCAAAGATGCCGAATTCGACGCTATCGTCATGAACCTAGGCATATTTACCCTCCGGGACCCGGTGGCCGGCGCCGCAGAGATGCACCGTGTACTTAAACCCGGCGGCTATGCAGTGGTCACTACGTGGAAGACTCGACGGGCTGCCGAGGTGCTTCAAGGCGCGGTGGATGCCATCCGGCCGAACAGCGGGTTAAAACCCATGTACATGCCCCCCGAGTGGTTGACGAAAGAGAAGCTTTCCAGCGTTATGGAGGTTGGAGGATTCCCTAGTGATCAAATCGGAGTTTTCGAGGCCGAGCCGAACTGGGAGTGTGGTTCCGGAGAAGAAGCTGTCAAAGCGCTCAGCTCGCCCATGTGGACGGCGAAACTCTGGGAGGGATGGAGCCAGGAAGAAATAGGGCGTTGGGATGGTGAAATACGAAAGCAACTGAGTGACACAGAGAAGGAGACGGGAATGTTGGGGATGTCGGCTTGGATTTGTGTCGCTCGAAAAGTTTAACTGGATGTCATGGCCGAGGTGTTATTTTGAAGTTTATGAAAATTATCATAATCCGGTTATAGCATCTATTTTGAATTTTATACTTAGATTAGGTGGTTATACCATCATAAAGTTATGAAGTCGGCTCATCGGTTAGTCGGCGGTAGAATATTAACCCCGAAATGGGATTTACAAAGAAGTTTATAACCTGAATGAATTGGACCTAGCCTCTGAACTTGAGATTCAATATTTATCAACTTCTTAGTAAATGCGGGCTTATACCATTTACCTTCTTACTCAAGTCCGTGCCGTTGTCATTGATAGGAGTTTGAGGTAATGAGTCAAGTCGAGTATACGATAGTCTACGTCCCTTGGATATCCAGTTCCTCGCTAGTTGGACCAGTTACGAAGGGACTTACGTATACTCTTCTAAATAAACTCTGCTTCTCAATAAGTACATAACTAGGAAAAGTCGTGAAAGTGACGCAACTCCTAAAGGCTAAAAACGCCTTAGCTCTTACTCAATAACCCCGTATGCTTGATCCCTGGTTCCCCGGTAATGCTTAGCCCTTAACCGAACAAGACCGGGGTTAGCGGCATAGGGGGCGGGCTACGGGGTCTATGGGGTAATACTAGCGCGCCATCCTTTCCCAGACACCGCTTTGTATACCTAAGGTACCTCCGTACCGACTGTTATAAGTCTCGATACCCTCCTCAACCGGGGTTTATCGTGAACTTTGATGACAATTGTCTCATATAGCTCTGTTTCGTGTTCATTTCATACTTGCATTATACCCTACCCACCATACACCTGTATAGGATACTTATATCCTAGGACCTACGTATTAGCTATACGGTCTTGTTTAGACACTACCTCTTGAGACTTAGACCGGGTTGGCATTTCATTAGCTACAACATCTTTAACAATATGTCTGGACCGACGTCACGGTTGAGGAACCTACTCGGTCATCTGGGGACGACAACCCCGAAGTCGCCCGTTGGCCTTGACCATACCTATCACATCCACCAGCTGTCCCCAACACTTTTTCTGGAGAGGGCCGCTGCTATCGAACCCGACGCCCCCGCCATATATCATGTTACGGCTAACAATAAAGTCCTAAGGAGGCCGTATAGCGAATTTGCGGATCGTGCCAGGGGTTTGGCATACTACCTTCGAAAACACGGCTATAAACGTGTCGGTGTGCTGGCGACTAACACGCCTGCTTTCTTGGAATCGATATTCGGGATTGTAGCTGGTGGCGGGGTTATCGTCCCTGTGAATTATCGGTACGTGCTCCGGAAATTCATCTACCCCCGCTGGAGCATACTCCGAATACTAACGATTTTATAGCTTAAACCCCGATGATATCACCTATATTTTTGATTTTGCCGAAGTAGATTCTATCATCGTGGACAACGAATATCTATCGTTATTAGACGGCTTTAAGGAGAGCCATCCTAATGTGCCTTTCATCGTTGATCTGGTGAGTATATTGTCTGATTCATCCAGCTTATATATAATGTTGGATATCGAATAAATCCATTAACAAATAAAGGATACCGATGCGACTGAGGGTGAGCTCTGTGGACCATTCGACGAAGCAGTGCTAGAAGGTTTGAAATATGACCAAGCACAGGGTGGCAAGGGATGGGCTGGTCTGCACGTCCAGGGCGTCCATGAAGATGATATGATCGCCATTCCATTCACATCAGGAACGACTTCGAGGCCGAAAGGATGCGTCTATACGCACCGAGGCGCATACCTTGCGGCACTAGCTAACGTCATTGAATCCGGATTGAGTCCTGACAAGGGGCGGTGTAAATACCTATGGACATTGCCGATGTAAGAATACCCCGGAAGACGGTACTTTTCGTTGCTAACATTTCCAGGTTTCATGCCGTAGGCTGGACGTTCCCGTAAGTTTCTCAAACAACCATCAAACTTTGAAGTTAAGGGCTCACTCCTATTATAGGTGGGCAGTAACCGCAGCTCGAGGCACGCATTATTGCCTCAGGAGAGTTGACTATCCGTTAATATGGAAACTTCTAAAGGAAGAGGGGATCACCAATTTTAGTGCAGCGCCGACGGTGAATACTTTGCTCTGCACTTCGAAAGAAGCAGCGAGGTTACCACAACCTGTTAAAGTCACCGTAGCTGCGAGCCCACCAACGCCACACCTTTTTAAGCAGATGGTATGAGACACGCCCGTCCGTCTCGTGAACTTACTAATATAACCATCTAGACCGATCTAAATCTATACCCCCTCCATGTATACGGCCTGACGGAGACGTACGGCCCAATAACGAAGGGATACCACCTCCCACAATGGGACGCCCTGCCAGAGTCGGAGAGGTATATCAAGATGGCTCGCCAGGGACATGGCTTCATAACCAGTCTTCCGATTCGCGTCGTCAAGACCGATCAGCCGGAAGGTGTTCTCGTCGACGTCGCCAAGGACGGTAAGGAGATTGGCGAAATCGTTTTTTTCGGTAATATTTGCTGCAAGGGTTACTACAAGGACCCTGAAGCTACGAGGAAGCTCTTTGCTGGAGGCGCACAACATTCTGGTGATTTGGCTGTCTGGCATCTAGATGGAAGCGCGCAGATTCAAGACCGAGCTAAGGACATTATTATTAGCGGTATGTCTGCCTCCTTTCTCTTCCTAGAGATATTTTTATCTACGTGCATAAATGCTAACATGCACATGTCAAGGCGGAGAGAATATATCCTCGGTCGCACTCGAAGCCATGCTAGTCCAGCATCCGGATGTCCTCGAAGCAGGCGTCGTAGCCGTGCCAGATTCGCATTGGGGCGAGCGACCCAAGGCGTATCTAACAGTCCAAGAAGGAAAGACCCTAAAACCTCAAGACATGATCAACTGGGCTCGCACCCAAAGCGCGATCAGCAAGTTTATGGTCCCGCGGGAAGTTGAGATAGTCGACGAACTCCCTAAGACGAGTACCGGGAAGATTCAGAAAAACGTCCTGAGGCAGTGGGCGAAGACAGGGAGGACGTGATGACATGTCGACAAGAAAGAGCGTACTTTGAAGGAATGAAATAAGGCGTATGGCTTCTAACCGGAGAGCGAGTGTGGGATTATTAGGCAGTCTGTATATCATAAAGCGGTTCAAACCAAGAGGCGACCGGCGAGCATTTCGAAGTCACTCTGCTGTAGAGAAATAAACTTAGATTTAGATAACCTGCTATAAGAGGAGGTCATCTACATATATACACGATTAAAATTCCCCTTGTTCGGTTCAAAAATACTGCTAAGTCATACTGCCGTAGATTGGTACCTAAATTTAAATTTATATTGTAGCTTAATATCTTGAAGATCGTAAAATTCAAGTCGGACGGTGATCGGATAGGTCACAACGCGGCGACAGCCTAGGCACCAATAGAAATTTGAGTGGCTATAAGGGAATGGCGTGAGACATAAGGAGATATATTGTCAACGTCGCAGGATTTATGCTAGTCCATCTCGTCTCAGCCACGAGCACCTCCGTCTCGCCCATGATTGACTAAAAGGGAACTGGATACTTGCTTTCATACTTCTCCTAAGAGGCGCACGCCGAATATTTCTTCATATCTGATATATTTCCCTAGATAGAAAAAGGGCCTTATCTGGCTAAGAGTTCTTACGTATGCGGCAAATATGGATTGAAATCGGTGTCATCTAGTTATACCGACGATATATTGGAGACTTTAGAAGTGAGCGAATAAGAGGTAGTCATTCGGGAATCCAATCGAACAACAATTAGTATCTCCTATTTCTCATTGGATATCATAGGTCATCATTAGTCTGTAAGGTAGATATATACTACCAGTCCGATACTCCATCGCCGTACAACTATCTCGTCAACTGTTTGAATGAGTCCTCTGGCAAGGAAAATACTTTATATGTCTGCATATCGTTCCCAAGCAGACAGACCCTGATGGGTACCTTGCCGCGCTCAGAACTAGCTTCCCTAATTTCCATCTGGGCCGGTATGAAATTCGGCTCGCAGGGTACCACCAAGTTCATAAATGCGCTGGTAATTTGGTCGTTGCTGAGGACGTGTGGCATTACCTTGTCTCCTGAGGAATACGGCCGATACCCTAAGTCGTCAGACTTATGTGGTATTCTGATAATCCGTACTGGTTGGCCTGCTTAAATTAGCGACAATCAAATGTTAAATGGACGTGCTTAAATTACCTCTTTGCGCCCACAGGACGAGAAGACTATCGTCGTATAAAAATTTGAGGTCGAGAACCTTCCCTTCGCCAAGGACCATACATGAGACCTCGGTCGTGACAGAACCGCTGATCCCATTCAACACGCTCGTGGTCGTTCGGAATATGTACACTATTAGAGGAGAGTCAGTGCTAGACTATGGATAATTTTGCTGGAGGTTCATACCGCTGCGCTCGTCGCTTTCCGTAACTAGAGCTGTGTATGTTGGTGTCTGAGACGTATCCTAATGGAGGCTATTAGCATTGAACGAGAGACGACTTAGGTGTGGACATACCGCATTAGATACAGCAGACATTATAACATCAAATTTCACAATGCTACTGTCCAGTTCGATAGCAGTTGGTTGGCCGAACCGCACGCTTCGCTTTTCCGCCTCAGCGATGCCTTCAAAGATAGCACTGGCCTTACTATCCAAATAGCCGCACAGGAATTCGACCTGGGCGAACGCATCGTCGTCGGGTTGCTTAGTGTCTAGTTTATTTAGCTGTTTACTAAGGAGTTCTAATAGAGAGCTTCCACCTTCAGCTTGTCGGCGACTTCTATCTGAACTTTCGCCTGGGACGTTGCTGAGATGGTACCGTAAGGGGCTCGCGGCCATATACTGTTGGATATAGGCAAGAACTTTTCCGTGCTCCATTGTTGCCTCTTTCTCGGAAAGCTCTTCTACCGCCGAAGGAGCTGCTAGTCTGTCGATCTCGTGCCGGAGCCAGATTGAAAACGACTGGAACAGTTCCAGCTCCTCCATGACGATGAGTAGAATCTTGTTTCCTACTAGCATCAGACAGGATACAATATCCATTACTCTAGTAATCTGCGCGCTGGTGAATCCGGGCTCCTCCTTTGACTCGTGGAAGCGCGCGATGCCGAGTAAACGGCTGAGGATAATACCGACGCGCTCGAGCGCTGGAAGGAAGTTCTCATGCACTAGGCTGCGAAGCGCGTGGAGACCCGACAAAACAGCCTTATCCCACCGTTTATGGCCCTATCTTATTCTTTAGTCTCATCATCATTTCAACTAAGCCTACGAATAGAAGCATACGTACCCGCTCCGCCAACTGGTCGACCAGCCATTCCCGGACTTCTGGGAATGTATGGCCCGTCACCACAGTATGGTATAAGGCCTGTCCGATGCCCATGTCGCCGTAGTTGCCAGATTCACGTAGCGTCTCGTTTATGCTGTTTAAAAATCGAGTTGGAAGCTCTCGGGTTGACTGCCATTCGTGTATCATATGTATCTGCACTTGTTTCACATACCTTAGCAGCTTTTGTAGCGTCGTGGTTTTTGAGGCCAGCAAAGACAAATTCTCGGGTGACGAGTGAACGAAAGTTAGGTCTATGGGTACGAGATAAGTGGTTGTCGTCTTAGCCTCCCCAGACGGCTTGAACACGAGCATATGTGTCGACGAGTCAGGATGAGAGGCGTGATGGCATAACTGCAGGGTGACATTCTTCCCAAGAGGCTGCGGTAGAGCGTACTTAAACGTGCCAATGACGAAGGAATTATATATGCTGACGTGGATTTGCCCATCGTCGGTGCCAACAATCATGACATCGACGTTATCGCTGTCACGAGGAGCGAAGGGTTGGAATAGGAACTCCAGCGATGCCCTTGTGGTGAATACGAAGGAGTCATCCCTTAAAGCCTTGTTAGCAGGTAGTTGTTACGATGAATTTGGCCGTGTTCCTTACCCTGAACCTCCCGATGCGGGTAAGGGGCTGAGCTTTGGTAGAGCGGTCTCGACTTCGAGAAATGTAAGTTCCCGAGGAAGGTCTACGGCGGTCTTCCTGCTGCTTGGGAAAAGATCGCGAGGTATTATATCCTCCCAGGATACCGTAGAAGATTCGGAGGCTGAGTTCTGACGCTTCCCTGCGTTGTTACGAGCCCAGCCGATGCAGGTGATTCGAGACTTGCCCGCCTCGCATACTGGCATCTGGTGGACAGCCTTGTTCGTCTCCAATCCCATCAACCTTACTACTCCATCACTCCACCCTACCGCTAGAAATTGTCCTGATGCGTGTTAGTTTATGAGTTGCTATTCTAATCTGAAGGCGAATGTAGTCTACCATCTGCTTTCCAGCGGAGAGCCTCGACAGTGTCTCTCTCGCCACGTTGACTACTTTTAGTAACAGCTTGGCCATTTGACCGCCATATCTGGAGCGTTTTCGACCCAGCCGCACCGGCGAAGAGTTCGATGGCCGGATTATAAGTGAGAAGACCGTTGTGCGGTTTAGGTTCGAGACGTAAGTCGTTACGGAGAGTGAGCTCAATTGGTTCAGTCATGGTTACTCCTAAGACTGGGTACCTAATTTGAGAGGATCTGGAAGGTTTCTAATCATGGCGCAGCATTTTGTAAGTTGAAGTTGTTATTATTTAGAAAGACACCCACTCATGCAGTTGTCTTCTTGTTATTGCTGCTGCGATTTTGCAAAGGTTAGTGAGTCCACAGTGCGCTAAAACGATGCGGCTGCAACTGAAAACACTCTAAATTAAGTACACAATACAGTATATTTAATACTTATAGTTATACTGTATACAATCTTATAAACATTTTCCCAGCTCTTAGAATCCACAACAGCAGAGAACTATATGTTAGGTAGTTGATGGCATCATTCACAATCAATTAGCATGCTCTATCTAGCCATTGCTCTATATAACATCCTGTCTCATCCCCTTTTGGTAGCCGTTGCTCCATGCTGAACTCATTACATCCTGCCCAAAAATCGTTACTCGACCAAATACGACTCGGCCACCGACCTAATGTCTTTGGAGAAAGTCACTTCTTCATTCTCCTCTAGCAACGAAACCGACGTAACCTATATAAATCGTTAGCACGGCGAAAATGCTAGATTGCGGGTGAGAGTATAGTACTTACATCAACATCGATGAACGGTGTCGTCTTGGAGAATCGTACTTGCATGGGGAAAAACTCGTTCTCGTCGTCCGCCTGAGCATCAAATTCAAACGAACCGTTGGGATTGTCGTCGCTGACGGTTCCGATAGTCCATTCGAGACTGTCGCCAGATACTTCGTAGGTGGCATCGAAGCTAGACACGGATGGTTCACTAGTAACGTACGGAATGACAACGGTAACATCCTTCAGGGTGTCACCTCCAGTAAGCTCATACTCGACTGTTATCGTGTAGTTTCCAGACGAGCCCTTGTTCACCCAGACGGTGAAACTGATGGGCAAAGCGCTGGTGTCGTCCGTCTTTGGCGTAGCTCGCCACCTTAACACACCAACAGAATTGTTGACAGGGAAACCGCGTGCAGCGTTGCTCATCTGGATAGTCTTGGAGCTCGTAAATAGGCCACGATCGACGTTGGGATGTGTACGGAACTGAACACCATGAGAGGTGTTTGCTGTAAGGCTAAGCTTGATCTTGGTCAAGCTGGGATCCGAGATTCTTAAGCTTAGATCGCCGGTAACGGCCAGGGAGTTTAGAGAACCCTCCCTCGATAGTTTGGCACCGATAGACTCGTTGACAGTGACGTGGATCGCATCGCGGTCTAGGGTTGAAGACATTCGTGGAGCTGCGGGCTCGGCAGCCGGAGTGGGAGCGATGGGCACTAGGGGTGACTCGTCTACTTCGGCTCCCATGTCTCCTCGGACACGTTCAAACATATCTGTAGTCTTGGACTTCTTACCCAACTGCATTCCCTTGCCCTTCATAACCGTTGTCCTAATGCTATGTTAGCCTGGCGTCTGACATATTTATGGTATTTCATACTTGTGAGTCTTATTCTTCTCAGCTTCGTAGGTATCGTAGGTATCTGTAGGCGTGGGGCGCGTAGGTGGCGTATAAGTCGGGTATACTGGGGTTCGAGGTGCGCCAGGACGACCCGTCCTCGCAGACTCCTTTCGTTGCAACTCCAGCTGCTTGGCCTTTCGTTTGCGCTCCTCGGTTGCTTCCAATTCCTTGTTCTGTACGGCTGTTAGCAGGGCAATGGGAAAGCCTTGTAGGTAGATAGCATACTCGCGCGATAATCTCCTGGATGCGCTCTTCGTGACTCTCCATCTCCAAGAAAGTCTTGATCTGACTGATGGTGAGGTTTTCTCTGTAGCCGAGCGAAACTAACTCGTCAAAGGCGCTGAGTAGTTCGTAGGCATTTTTCAATATCTCCCTCTCGTCCAAGCTTCTGCATATGCTAGTAACTACCTGCGCAAACAGGTGGAGGGAGTCAATATCCTGTAAGATGTTGGACTGGCGGTTGGTGATGAGGACCATGTAGAGCTCGTCGAGGGGTTGGTAGACAAATCGAACATTGTCCTGCTCGACTGTGGTGTGCTGGGTGCCTGAATCGGCAAGCTTAGGAAAGGATGCTAGGAGGGCTTCGATTCGCGATCTGGGCATCTCGCGGAACTGCCTCGAGAGGACAGCTTTCCCGCCTCGAGTACAAATAGATGCGGCTAAGACGACCTAATACAAAGTTAGAGATCATTGGGGAACCTTACTTAGGTCTTTGGGAATGTGTTATTACCATGTTGTCTGTATTATGCCCACAGGGACAGGCAACTTTTGTAGAAGAATCAAAGAGAATTGATATGCTAAGTAGAGTTATGCCGCGAAATGGGAGTTGATATTGTACCAAGGCTAGCAGCTGTCCAGCGATCAAGCCAATTCACCGTACGTAGAAAATGTGGTACTGGACTAATCCCCTGTCAAGCCACATGTTTGAACTGGCTGGACTTAGGTACCTCTAGGTATCTTGCCGATATTTATCCGACAGGGAGTAGAGGTACCTAGGTACATATTCCGTACATTTCCCAACTTGCTGCATGCGTTAGGTTTCAGCTGCCGGGCAGGTGGGGTCCTGTCAACCCAAAATTACCTAATGCCTTCCTAACTTATTATTTCACGGCGTACCTTCGCGGCCTACCTTTTGTTAACCTAAAATAAAAGTGATCATGCATTCTATCAACTCACTGTGCTTTCCCTCGACGTCCGTCTCATCAATCACGGCCTATTGATATTACTTTAATGTTAAAGCCACAAACTTTAAATTTCTAATTTTCCGATAACCCTACCCACGCGCATCATATTCTCGACATATTTTCGATAAGAGGCAGCATCCCCCATCTTTCCTCATTTCGTAAATCCCGCCTAAACCACGCGACGTGCATCTCACAGTCACCACGATATCCTTGTTACCTCACATTTATTCACACAGCACTGTGACGACGGCCAACTATTACGTACCTTCCTACGTACCTTTAATATTCTTGACCTGATTTACTTTCCCAACACTTCCAACACTTTTCCTACCTACTTCCTACTTAACAAAGGACCACGGGCTTAAAGGCAGTTCAACCAAAGCCTACGTCACAAGGCCTCTACTGCATCTACCGCAACCTCCTAGCAAGATCAATCTTTAATAGGTGAACTTTCGTTTACCGCAAATGATTCTTACTTTTACACAAGCTATTTGCATTGTACACGCCGTTCACCATCAATCGACAACCCTTTAGTCCGGATAACACGACATAGCAGGACTGCGAAACACATTAAAGAGTAGTGGCAAACCGCCAGGCCCTATCAAGTTTCCGACCGCATCTCGTGCCCCGCGTTTGCGAAGCTATTGCGACGAATTATTGTAGACTTGAGGGTAGGCTCTAGCGAACATCAAGCAAGTGAAGTTTACAATCCCCTTCTTTCCGGAAATAGACAGTCTTCACCCCGACTTCCTGAGCCTCTTTGTTCGATACGGACTTGTCATTTCCTGCCTCCCTACCAAGAAACTGGATAACCCACGTGGTATACCAATTTGATACATTCGAGAATAATACCATTCCCTTTCTAGGGACATTTCTCTATTAGGTTCTGCCATAGATCCCCTTGCAGATAGCCTTGTATCCAAACATCCTATACTATGCCTGGGGAAGAAATGGAGATAACAACCGATTTCGGTCATGCTGGGTTTGGGGAAGACATCGACATAGATCTAGATTTCGCAGTCGCACAGACTGATGAGGATATGGAGCTTGCAGATTTTGATCAAGTCCAGGAGATTCCGAACTTCAATTCAGACACGAGAGATGAGCTGATGGCTGAAGGGGATGATGCGTCGTACGGTATGATAGACGCCGATGACATCGAGAATAACCAGGTGGCAGCAGCTTCCAACGATATCGAGATCGATCTTGGTGACCCCGACGAGAATCTATGGCAACAGAATGCTGTCCCTGAAGAGAATTTTGAGACCATTGTTGAAATCGATATAGTTGAAATCACTGACGTCGGTAATGCCAATGCCAACACCGACAATGTTGGTAATGGCCAAGGTAGCTGGTTAGAAGCATCAACCTACTCTATTAGCAAGCCCGATGAAGCAGAAACCGGTCAGGTTGATGTTGGCACAATCGACGCAACAGGCAACAACCTGCTTCCAGATAATGAAGCTCTTGTAGGGGACAACGTAGTCTACCAAGACTTTGGAGTGGTTGTGACCGAAGGCGACAATGTAGAGGCTCTTGATGTCGGTGAGAATAACAATATCGAATCGGAAGGCAGAGTGCAGAGTGCGTACGACGAACAGCAAAATGTATCTGATGATGCTAGCCTCCAAGAGTCCACAAAGGAGCCTGTTGTTGATGAGCAACACGAGCAACAGGAACATGAGAAGAATAATGATGCGCACTCAGATGGACACGCTAGTGAAGGTAACAATATCTACGAAACTCACGAAGATGTCCAGCATCAAGCTAGCGGCGATGATGAATCTGAAATTGGATACGATAGTGACGATAACGACGACAACTCCCTTCAGCATGGAGAACAGCCTTCTACTACTGTAGCATCTGATCACGGATCCGTGGCAGAACATCCTGCTGAACAAGAGCAGGAGCAGGTAAACCAACAAGATCCGACCGACCTAGGGGATACTGAGCAGTTAGGCAGTGACTTGCACGACGAGTCTGCCAATGACCATGAATCTAGTAATCAAACCTATGATAAAGAAGAGACTGGAGCTCCTGATGTCGATGAGACGCAATGTCAGTCGGACAAGCACGATGCTGAGCCCGAAGACCCCGAGGCAGGCCTTGCTGGCGACCAAGAGAAACCCCCTCGTGCCACTGAAGCCTTTGTAGAACACCCCTTCTCTGTTGCTACGCGCCATGAGATGTATATCTCGTACGGTAACACGGATTACAGGCTATTCGCTAAGTCCGAAGCCGATGATCCTAACAAGTACTTTTTGAGTGATATGGCAGCGTTAGAGCTTCCCCTCGGCCAACTGTTGTCCAGCCTGCGCGATGTCATTTCAGACGAGCTTTCTCCTCTGGATGAATTGGTCATGCACGTAGATGGCCTGGGACTGGAGTTCTCCGAGGTATGTTTAACTACGAGCCCATGTTAACCTCACAGAAGCTAATTTATGTTATAGTCCTCTACGGCTGATATACTTGAAAAGTTCACGTTTGGTGACATTCTTGGTCTTTATGATAGATTGGTAAAAAATGACGGGGCAGAACCGTCGCCAGACCTCTACACGTATCTTATGGTAAGGCCTAATTGTAGGCAGCGCTTTATAGCGCTTCGAGATAGCGCAGATTCTGGTCGTGGCCTTTCAGAAATTGCCATTTATCGAGAAGAGACGCCGATTGATGGCGAGGAAGCTGGCGATTTTGACAGTCACTCTCCGTACGCCTTGCCCCCTGGGGAAGAAGATGAGGCCTATGACTATGAAGAAAGTGGTGCCGTGGAAGATGAAGCCGATCAAGGTGAAGCAGGCGAGGCCGAAAATAACGACGAGCCTAATTCACCCTCAGTACATGGCTCGGCCATAGGTACAAACACTGAAGACCCAGCAGGCGAAGCCGATGCAGCCGACACAGCCGACGAGGCTAATGAGGCCGACGAGGCCGACGAAGCTGGAGAGAACGCCGATAATAATGCAGACGCGAGTGCCGATGCGACCACGGCGGACGGCTTGATCGACTTCTCCGACGACGAACTGGACCTTTCATCAACGAAGCAGGGTAATTCTCACACTTCTCTTTTCAACCCCTCGGTCTCCACCGGCTGTACTAGAACTAAAACCTGCATATGCGATGATTGCTTTGCGGTTGAAATTATGGGAATGGAAGCCGGTTGGCAACTCGACAGCTTGAAATCAGCCTCATCCGGTAGTGCCGTCGGAGCTGACCAGCCTTTCGAGTACGAGGAGCTAGGCGAGAGCAATATAGACCTGTCGACAATTTCTCCTACCGAACAGCACTTTTTCATTCCTGAACTCCGGTCTTTTGAGAATTTGCAAATAGTTACTAACATTCACCAACTTCAAGATCAACAAGCAAACGGCTCCCCGCACGATCGTACGAATGAGATTCAGAACGAACATGATACCGAACGTAGTGATCCCAACCAGCATCCGTCACCGATTAACGGAACAGCCGATGCCCCCAGCTCCGACATTACTAGTGCTACTGCCACGCTGAACGGCGACGATAAAGACGAGATCGACTACTCGGATGACGACGGAGAAGAGATTGTGGGTGGCAACGACGTCACATCCAACAGTGGTATCAGCGTGTCGGCAACCCTTAAGGTGCCTATCAATGACGAGATCACATGGGAGTCAGAAGATGAGGATGCTCAGGACGAACCTGTCACAGCCTCCAAGGCAACGGTACAAGTGTCACCGGTATCTGGAAAGCGCGCTCGGTCAGATTCTGATCTAGACGAGGGCGCAACTGAACGTAGCGGTACGTGATCTACTTTGAACACTAACAGATCTGGCTATCTTGCTAACTTGCTTCAGATGTCAAGCGTCGTCGTCCGTCATGATTTCTCCGAACTTTCCAACCCGATTTTCTCTTTATCTGTTTCCCCCCTCCGACATGCAATACATTCGAACGCATCACTAATGAGCTGATGTCGAACTTGTATATTTGCAGTCAACCCACAGATACGCGATTCTGTTCCCGACGGGACGTAGTTTGATTTCAGCATACTAACATACAGGTACGAGGAGTGCTAAAAACGGTTTAGCATTCTTAATGGTAAGTTTACTTTAATAACGAAAGACGAACAGCTCGTAAGGATACGCGAAACGGCTTCGTCACGAATCGAGACGGTGACGAGGGCTCCTCCACTTCGAATTTTTGTTTGGCCCCTTTTCTTTTCTGATACCCGCGGCGCTCATCAGCTGTTCACGGCGAGAGGTGTGAGCTGTGTAAAAGGATACAAGGTCCCGGAGATATTTAGGAGTTTCGGCAAGGGAAAATCTATGGAAATTCCGGTACAAATGTCATAAATAGGAAGCAGCACGGCGGGGCTGCTGATATATGACTGCCCACAGAAGAGTCAAGATTTCATGTCGCGTTGCAGGTGTATTGTGGAAGGAAGCTTGAGCTACAATGGCAATTCTAATCCAGCCGAGTTAAAACCTTGATAAGCTGGATAGACAACGCCTTGCGTTGCTATAGCTTGGTTGAGAATCTCTTAGGCTTTGATGATGCGATCGCAAATTCCGTAGCAATATACATTACGCCTATTTTCGCGAGGAGGTTGTTTTCAGTATTATGTACCTATGTATGAGTGGTTGTGGCTGTTGTGATATGGCGACTCGCTTGAGACGGGAGCAAAAAGAAAAGTGTAGACGAGTAAGGTGGAGACGCGTCGTCATGTCCAATTTGAATCTTGAACTACGTGCATAGTTAGGTGGTTGATCATATCTCACGAAGGCGTTTCTGCAGTCAGCATATTGTGCCTCCTTATAACGAAATACGAAAATGGGTTAGTTATATGTACAAGTCAGACACAAGTCGAATCCAAAACTGGCATTTGGTATCCAGCCTCTTTAATATTAAGACCTAGGTAATTAAGCATTTAATTAATAGAGGGATGGATCAGATTGGAGATGATCAGCCTTCAGGAACAGGAAATAGTCAGGATTAAGTATAGTTAAGAAGCAGGGAAGAGGCATGTTTTAGATACATAGGTACCAGTTCTACCACCGGAAATGCAGCGAATGGGTCTAATGTTCAGATGCCATGAGCGCTCAGATTCTTGCGTACGTGTTCTGCGGATGCAAGGGGAGGCACAGCCTCGTCTTGGTGGGTCTTTTAAGAGAAGTACAAGGTTCTTAGGTGTGGGTTAAATTCTATCTTAGAAGGTTTCAAGATATGTCTAAGATACATTTAGGATCCGCCATAGACCCGAAAATATGTTTCTTCTGGCTTGTCTCGAGTACCTCTTTGACCTTGTGTCATTTAGCCCATTTAATTCATCCATAATTAATCCATCAGATTAGACTACCTTTCGGTAGTAGAGTGAATCTCGATATTCTTGGGAAGAATCAAGGTGTTGAATATCATGTACATCTAGTATATCTACATGTAGTACATCTGATTGCGTACATGTACCTAGGTAGTCAGGTACGGGTTAAACTTTCACTTACTATGTAGGCAGGCTAAGTGCATACTAAGATCGAAATACGGGCTTAAACTCCGGTTAGCGCATCTCTAATTACTATGTACAGCAAACGGACGATGACACCCCTGGCTAGGTACATAATAGTTTGGGGCATCTCCAAGCGGCTACGTATGTACCTAGGTAACCTCCCTGGAAGTACCCCGTACTTTTTCTCTGAAACCCCAGTGCCTCCCACTTCGAGTTGCAGTTCCAATGTTGCAAGTCAAAGGTCAAAGGTCAAAGAGAGAGAAGTAGCCGCTTTCACAACTCGGCTGTAAATCACTACGAATCACCACGAATCACCACGAACCCCCAAATTCTATTCCTCAACCCACTACGAAATAGCATTCGTTCTTTTAAAAAACCAACTTATTCCCTCGTATTGTTCCTATACATTGTCCACGGTCCACGTGCCTCTCGGTTCCCATCTACTAAGCGACGCTTTAAACGTGCGACCCTCAGCCACCGGCCTTTTCGACTAGGCGCGCAACCGATTCGATCGTTCCCTTCGGGTATTCGTGGCATCTCCGCTGATCGAAGCGCAAATCGGACCACCTGATCACTCCCTTTCGTTGCTTGCCCTCGCCCGGCGCGATTCATCTATCTACTCTTGCGACGATCTCAATTCCCTTTTCCACCATTACCCCCCCATTTTCACTAGACGCTGCGATTCCTGTCGCGGCCGTAGATCCATCGCAATGATGATGCTAGACGAGAAGTACGGATGACCCCCCGAGGCCCGCCGCCGTGAGAATGCGTTCCGTAGCCTACGCCGAGAGTTGCTGTCTTCGACGACAATGGACTGACTTGAATTCTTGAATAGATACATCGGACTAGCGTTAGCTATCTCATCAAGTTTAGCCATCGGTATGTCCCTTGAGTGCGAGAAGATGGCATACTTCCAGGATACATCAACTAACATCATCCCGTTTTATAGGCACGAGTTTTGTAATAACGAAAAAGGTACCGTGACCCAAAGAATTCGGCGCCGAGTTATGCCTCGATCTTTGTCGGGAGAGTTCATTCTAATACGACGTAGGGATTAATACAAGCAGAAGAAAAGCATGGCTTCTCCGGCGAAGGTTACATCTACCTAAGAAACCCCTTATGGTGGGCTGGAATGGTAACCAGTAAGAATTCCCCCGTTAAAGTTATTGGTAAATTAGTAAACTGACGAACCATTCTTCAAAGTGATTACGGGAGAGATTTGCAACTTCGCCGCATATGCCTTTGCTCCAGCCATTCTAGTGACGCCTCTGGGCGCTCTATCCGTCCTAATCGGAGCTGTTCTAGGATCATACTTCCTGAAAGAGGAATTGGGAACTTTGGGAAAACTTGGTTGTGCTATCTGCCTGTTAGGTGCTATTATCATCGTCCTCCATGCGCCTCCCGACGAGGACATCCAGACGATCGACCAAATCCTTAACTATGCGATTAGGCCCGGTGAGTTTAACCCCAGCGCAAGGAGATTCTTCGAAGACACGAGCTAATGGAGGTTGCTAGGTTTCCTTCTATACTGTGCCGTCGTGGCTATCTTCGCGACTGTCATGATCTACAAGATCGCGCCGCTCCACGGCAAGAAGAACCCGCTGATCTACCTTTCGATCTGCTCTACTGTCGGCTCCGTATCGGTCATGTCCGTGAAGGCCTTCGGCATTGCGCTGAAGCTCACTTTCGCAGGCCACAACCAGTTTACCCACGCTTCGACCTACGTCTTCATGATCCTTACTGCACTTTGCATCCTTACCCAGATGAATTATTTCAACAAGGCGCTCAGTCAATTTAGCACCCAGATGTATGATCCACCACCTACTCTATACCCATTAACAAGGCTGACTTATTTGTAGAGTTAACCCTCTTTACTATGTGACCTTCACTACGGCCACCCTTTGCGCCTCGTTCATCCTCTTCTCCGGCTTCAACACCACCGACGTGGTCAATACCCTCTCCTTACTTTCCGGATTTCTCATAACCTTCACCGGCGTCTATCTCTTGAACTTATCCCGACGCGATCCCAACGGGACGAAGATTCTTGCCGGACAGGGTACCGATGCTGCTGGTACCGATATGATATCGAGTTTGCAGACGCGTCTTAGCATGCAAGCCCGACGAAGTACCGGCTCGCGGATAAGCATAGGAAGTCGGGGACATTCTGACAGAGAAGGGCTCATGCGCGCATACGATTTGGAACAGGCAGCAGGAGATTTCAGCCTCAACGACCTTGCTGAAGATAGCGACGACGAACCGTCGTCGAGGAGGAATGGTGCAGCCGTACGCTCAAAGAAAGGCCACGAGTCGATCGAACTGCAGAACCGGAGATCGTCCGAGCAATGAACTAGCTTCACATCGGAAGATCAACATCTCATATATGTTCTCATATATGTCCCTATTCAACATCTCTACGATCACATTGTATATTTTCCTATTCGGCGGCGCTCTTCATCGAAAGATTAGATCATCGAATTCCACAGGTGGACACGATTCATATTAAGGATTCTCATGTTGCTAGTTCCAGATTGGAACTTAGGGTGTAAAATGGCAGTAACCCTCCTCTCCTCCACTGGGGAGGGGGAATATCGGGCTCACTAAAGGAGTATTAGAGGTAGCATCATTTTTGGGTTCTTGGTGGTTGGGATTATCTCACCGCGGCGTTCCGGGGAACAAACGGGTTACTTTGGAAGTACCTTCCGGCACATTCGGCGCAGAGGCGAGGGATCCGGTTCCGGTTCATTAAGGCGCGAGAAATGGTAGCAAGCTACCGGTACCTTTCCCATTATCGAATTTGAGAGGAATCAACCTTTTTTTATTTCCCTTTTTTTCTGTATGATTACTACGCGCGGAAGCGAGATGACGATAAACGGCATGGTCCTTTCTGCACTGCGCCGGATCTGGTGCCGGATGGGTGGGCAAACGGAATTGGAGCGACAGTTGACGGGTTAGCGAGCGACTCTGAATAGCCGTCGCCAAGTTGTTAGGTCGTGTAGGCCGCTAGGAGATGGCGAGTACTTAATGAGCGCTATCCTCTAGCATAAATGTGTGTCGAATTTCAAGTACATCTACCCCAGACTATGGTATGGTAGATATCTAGTATGTACCAAGGAGGGAAGTTTATGTGCTCACGTATTAGCTAGGCAAGTTACCTATCCTACGAGAATGAGAAGGGTGCGTGTACGCCGATTTTTGAGGATATCGAATGTGAATTATCTTCGTTTTCATTGAGTGGCCCATAACTGAAATACCCAAGTAATGGCAGATATAAGTATTCATTAACTAGTACTCATTACGTTTAGTAAAAAGGCATTTCACTTTAGCATATATAACACCTTTCACCTGGACTTCCACATTTTGTGTGACGATTGCTATTTTGCAGTCCACAGCTCTCCCTAGTAGAGGCCGTATCTAGCCAGCCTAGAATCGACAATAGAGCATCCGTTATTTCCCGTCCCTGTAATGCAAGTGATGATCAAAGACGCCGAAGAATCTCTTGCCCTCGAGAAAATACAGACCGCGTTTCCTCGTTAGAATTCATCCATTTCCATCCCCCCCTGTTTTTCTTTCCCCGCCGTTCAGATTGAAGAGTCCAGCACCGACTGCTCAATCCTTTATTCCTCAGCGGGGGCAGCCTCCTCGGCGCCTTCCTCCTCGGCGGCGCGAGCAGCCTCGGCCTGAGCCTGGATCTGGGCGGCCTTGGCGCCGTAGTCATGGCTCACGGGAGTCACGATGCTGGACTCTTCCTTGGGCTCGATGATGGTGACGGCGTCAGGTAGAGACTTGGAGGGACCGGCCTTGCCCTCGGGGTCGGAGCCGCGCATGATCTTGACCTTGATACCGAGAACACCCTGGCGCAGGAGAACGTGGCGGGTGGCGCTGTCGATGAAGTCGCGGGCGGGCTGACCGGAGTGGATCATGAAGCCGTCGGTGAACTTCATGGACTTGGCACGGGCGGCACGCAGCTTACCGGAAACGACGACCTCGCAACCCTTGGCGCCGCTCTCCATGATGAAGCGGAGGACACCATAGCAGGCACGACGGACGGCGAGACCGTTGAGGAGCTTGTAGCGCAGGGACTCGCACTGAGCGACGGCGGACAGACCGCGGTTCTGGACCTTGGCGGCGTAGAGGGACACCGAGTTCTCGGGGAACTTGAAGCGCTTCTGGATGAGGGAGGTGAGCTCGCGAATGCGGCGGCCCTGCTCGCCGAGAACCTCTTGGGTGTGGGTAGCGCGGATGATGATGTCGGTGACGGTGGGAGTGACGCGCACTTCGACGCCGGAGTAGCCCTCCTCGGCAAGCTCGCGCTGGAAGAACTCGTTCAGCTCGGCGTAGAAGACACCGTCAGCGACGAACTTTCTGCGCTTGGAACTGTAGAGAGAAGGTAAGTTAGCATGTTGGAACGGAAATAAATCGAGGCCATCGTGGAACTTGGATTTGCTTGATCGAAGAGGGGCAGTCGCAGTGGTGATTGAAGCCAGCTAGATCGATATAATTAGAATGAAAAGACAATGCTTACATTTGAGAACCCGGGACGGCCATCTTGACTGTTGGATATGGATGATGACTGCTGAGAATCGATCTGTAGTTGAAGGTGTCTTGGGGAGAGAATTGCTCAGCTTGCCGGGTTGGAGTTTGCAGTCGTCACAAAAATTCGGGGCGGTGGTGGGATTGATGTTCGACAGTGGTGGATGCACTGTCTGGATTTTGGCTGTGAATTTTTGGCTTAGGGTTGAGAATTGTGTGCTTAGATTAGAGAGTTCTTATCGATAAGATTTATCCCGTAGCCGATGCATCTAATTCTTGGCGGTAAATATGCACGGGCCTATTGATTCATTGTACCTTAGGTACCTACTCCACTTCAACCTCTTAGGCTCGTCCATGTGTGACGTCGGTGTCAGCCACATGCGATTCCCCAATTTCCAATTTCTCAGCCTCGCCTTTCGTCTTTGGTCTAATGCAGAGGGATCCATGGGTGTACCTAAGGTTTAGTAAGGTAGGTAGATTAGGTATGTAGATGTACTTACCTCTTGCCCTGAACTGCCCGTTGACTCTAGCTGCCCCGCCGCTAAAAGTATATCTTACGCTCTAGCAGCGCCAGTGACCAGTGACCAGTGACGCTGGCAGGTCTGAATTTATACGTCTACCTAATCTACTAATGCACCTACACCTACACCTACTCGGCCAACCTCGAACCAACCTTTGGACAATGTGACGGCTGACTTTAACATATGATGCGCTGCCAACTCACGATACGCCACGATGCAGCTGGTTAAGCCGTAGTATTCTTGCATACCAACTCAGTAGCAACAATTGTTCCCTTCTTTCATCAGCTGTAGTTTATCTAAGCCTGTCCTCCTGTCGAGCTGAAATCTAACGCCTTGCGGGTTTTCGGCCACCTTCAAGTTTCCCTTCGCTGGGCAAATGCGACAACAAGTGCCACCTCACCTTTAACTGCTTCGATGTAAACCTACACTTGCAAAGGTTCCAAGATGCAAGTCAAGAAGGTAGACACTTCTTCCGCACTCTCCGTTTGCTCTCGCCATTGCTAATTCCACCCTGACAGATACCCAATGTTGATGCCATCAGGGGCGGCGAGAGACACTCTGGTGAACTCCATCTTACAGAACACCATATCATATTCTCCTTTCCTAGTACCCAGCCAGATGGAGCACCAGCACAGCCGAGTGCCTCAAAACCTCGCGAGGTCTATATCGCCTATCCCATAATTGCCAACTGTATCTTTCGACCGTGTCCTAGTGTGACCGGGCGCCCATCCTCAATACGGCTACGATGTCGCGATTTTATGTTTATAAACTTCAACTTCTCGGATGAGGTACAGGGGCGGGATGCGTTTGAATACATCCGGAACCGCACATGTCGGCTCGGTTCGATAGAAAAGCTATACGCTTTCAGCTACCAACCTCTAAAGCTAGAGAAACCATTCGACGGATGGAATATCTACGATCCGAGAGTCGAGTTTAGACGGCAAGGAATCAGCACCAAGTCTGTCGATAGAGGATGGAGGGTATCCTTAATAAATAAGGATTATAACTTCTCACCGACCTACCCTAGCCTTCTCGTCGTTCCCTCCAAGATATCTGACAATGTCATCAAGTATGCCGGCTCGTACCGATCGAGGCAGCGCATACCTGTCTTAACCTATCTTCACTCCCTAAATAATTGCTCTATCACGCGGAGTTCTCAGCCTATGGTCGGTTTCAGGGGGAATCGTAGCATACAGGACGAGAAGCTGGTTAGCGCGTGCTTCTCCGCTTCGGCCACCGTTGAGTTTAATGGAATAGAGGCCCCAGTAGCGGACACGACGGAACCCAGCCCAGCATCCAGTCATGCAGACCTCCGAGATACTTTGGACACGGAAACTTCAGAAACGGAACGCCTTGAAGATGAGCTTATCGCGGGGGACGAGAGCAATTACGATACGAAAACGGGAAAGCGGTTGGTATATGGTGCACAGCAGAGCAATCTCATCGTGGATGCCCGACCAACCATCAACGCAGTTGTAATGCAGGCAATGGGAAAGGGGTCAGAAAATATGGAATACTACAAATTCGCTAAGAAAGCCTATCTGAATATCGAGAATATTCATGTTATGAGAGAATCTCTTAACACCGTTATAGAGGCCTTGAAAGATGGAGACATCTCTCGCCTACCTCCTAATCGCGAACTGCTCGCGAAGAGCGGTTGGCTTAAACACATTACTGGTATACTCGACGGGTCGGCCCTGATCGCACGCCAAGTTGGTATAAGACACTCGCACGTCTTGATCCACTGTTCGGACGGTTGGGACCGTACTAGCCAGCTATCAGCCCTGTCACAGCTGATGCTGGATCCTTATTACCGCACGATCGAAGGGTTTATCGTATTGATCGAGAAAGATTGGTTATCCTTTGGGCACATGTTCCAACAACGTTCCGGCTTGCTCAACCACGAGAAGTGGTTCGCTGTAGAACGCGATACCCTGGCTGGCTCGGCGATACAGCCCGGTGAGTCGGACGGCCGCGCGGGTGAAGCCTTCGAAAATGCGCTCGCGAGCGCAAAGCGATTCTTCAAGAACCGTAGCAGCGAAGCCAACGCGGAATCGGACGGCGACGGTGTGGCCTCACCAGCCGATGATCCGTCGCAAGTCAAGAAACCGGCACCAGGTACGCCCGAAGCTAGCGAAGCTACCCGACCCAACGAAATATCCCCTGTTTTCCACCAATTCCTCGACGCGACGTACCAGATCTTGCGACAACATCCTAATCGTTTCGAGTTCAACGAGCGATTCCTGCGGCGACTCCTCTACCACCTTTATGCCGGACAGTACGGCACGTTCCTATGGAATAACGAGAAGTCCCGTAAAGACGCTCGAGCGAACGAGCGAACGAGATCGGTATGGGACTATTTCCTATCACGGAAGCCAGAGTTTATCAACCGAGACTACGACGCGACAATTGACGATCGGCAAAGTGGCCGCGAGAGGCTCATCTTCCCGAAACTTTCTGAAGTGCGCTGGTGGCACCAGCTCTTTGGCAGGACAGATGCGGAGATGAACGAGTACCTCGATCTAGCTGCGGCGAGGGACGAGAGGCTCGGCAGCTATGCCCTAGGCACCACGACACCATCCATGCCGGGTGGCTTCACGGGCTCTCCGAATAGATCGCCACGGCCGTCACAAAGTCCCCAACCGCCAAGCTTACCTCTAAGCAAGAGCGTACTTACGGGTGTGGAATCTGCACACGAAGCACTTACGCCGGAGCAACGGGCAGTAGCCAATCCGGCAAGCCTAAAACACAACGCCAGTGCCGATACACCCAACGCGTTCACGACAAATCTCGCTAAGATTAGGGACGGGGTGGTCGGGCTAGATATAGGACGGGGTATGTTCGGGGGGTCTAGTGCTGCGAGCGTCGGCGAAGACGCGAGCATGAACAGGGACGAACAGGAGATGGCGGATATGCCAACAGGGAGCGAGAAGGGGAGCACGGAAATTGCGTGATCGGGAGGTATGTCCTCCCTGGCTACGATAGGGGCATTGTTATGGTGTTGTATTGTAAGAGTTACTACTAGGCGCCCTACGAACGAGAATAAACAAAAGAAGAGATGAAACGCTAGTTACGTGGTATGTTGATGCCACGCATATATACCTATGTACAGGCATTCGTTTGATGGTGTTGGCTCTTGGCTCCTGGAGGGTGTTTTGGTTTGGGCAAGAGGTTAGATGGGGTGAGAGGTTTGTAGTTGGTATGAGACGATGAAGCGATGAAGATAAGGCAATCAACGTTGTTGATGTTTAGATCGGCCATGGTCTACTGTGTACGTCTTGAGAGAAAGCAAGTAGTAGGCAGTCTGACGGAAAAGAATTATGTACTACTAAAACATCACGAAATTCCCAAGCTAGAAGTTTTGGATGATGCTAGGAATTCTTCCTATCAACCTATTCTAGGTGTTTTTTACCTAAATCTCATATCACCTGCGGTTTCTTTTTTATTCCTAGGTAGTCTTTCATCCTCGCGGGAAATAGACACAGATAGCAACACCGTCTAGCTCTAAGCTATCTTCTCTACTACCCTCACTTCACTTCACTTCCTCTCGTCGCGTCGCGTCTCGTCTCGTTTCTACCACCGCTTTATAAGAAGACCTCAAGATTGACTTCGAGAGCACTGACGGGGTACTTGAGCTCGAAGTTTTCGAGGACGGAGGGATGTAAGATGCCGAACTCGCCGATTCGCGCCGTCTTGCCGCTTAGGCGGGCGAAGACGGCAGCAGCGCGGCCGGGGAAGAAAGTAGCCTCGTCGTCGATGGGCTCGAGCCAGTAGCCGTCGCGCTTGAGGTGTTCGGGGGTGACTTTGAAATCCATGTCCTTGCCGGTGAGGCCTTCGTCGTGGGTCAGGAAGGCCTGGCGCAGCATAGCCATGACGCGGTCGAGTAGGCCGTGGACCTCCTCGAAACCGGAAGCCTTGCCGTACCAAGCAGCGGCGAAGTGGCGCTCGTTGCGGGCTTTTCGCTCCACGCTAGGGTCCTTGAACACGACGTCCGAAGTCTCGAAGATGCGGAGCGGGAGGGCCACGCCCTTGTTCTCGCGGATGGTCTTTAGTAAGCCGGGGAGTAGCGACGTGCGTACGATCTGGTACTCGGCGGTCTTGGGGTTGGCGAGTCTAACTGCTTTGGTGCCGTCGTCCTTGCGGTTCAGCCATGCGAAGTTCTCGTCGTGGCTGCATAGGATCAGGGGCATGACCTCGGACCAGCCGGCCATGCCGGACTCAAGGCGCACGATGTCGGCTAGTTTGTTAAGAGTCAGGGGCGCGCCGACTGTCTTGGTCACGGTCATCCTGGGGAGCTTGTTGAATCCGTACGCGATGCCGACATCTTCCATGATATCGCACCTCTGGAGTATGTCGGCGCGCGTCGGTGGTATCGTGACTTCTATTAGGGCGTTCGGGTCCTCGCTCGAGGGCTTAGCTGCTAAGGCCATTTTTGAGAGGAGTTTACTGATGTTCTCGGCGGACTCGGAGAGGCCAAGGCAACCGTTCAAGTAGTCGACCTCGACAGTCGTTGTTCGTGGTGTTAGGTTGGGTGTTATCCGCGTCTGGCCGTTGTGGTCGGATATGACCTTGATAGGCTCGACGGTGAAGGGCTCCTCGGCATAAACGGAGAACATTGCGACCATCATGTTGACGACAATTTCCAGCTTGGTCTGGTCCGTTGCCGTACATTCTATAAAGACGTTCTTGGTGTTGAGAGAGATCTTGGAATGGTCGCCGTTGATGATGGGTGGCAGCGAGAGGACTACCCTATTCGCGTCGTAGATTACAGGGTAAACTGAATTGTCCCGGATGATGTGCAAGTATTTACCTATATTCTTATCCTTCTCGTAGAAAGCCATCAGTTCCTCTCCATTCATCTGCTTGGTCTGGTTGAGGGGCGTGAAGACAATTTCTTGCGGCGGTCGCGCCTCGTACGTGAAGGGTCCCTTGATAGCATCCAAGTCGTGAGTTCCGATGGCGACTAACGTACGCTGGCGGGCGAGGTTCTGGTGTAGCTTGTCTTGAAGGGCGATGAAGGAATCATAGTTCTTCTGGGTGAACTTGACATTGCGCAAGATGGCGCCACCGACCAGCGGCCGCACTTTCATAGTATCCTCGAGGACAGTGATGGTATGCATACTCCCGGAGACAGGCTGGGTTAATCTGATGTTGGGAGTGGGCTGCCTTCCCCGGAAGATGTTGAGCATGAGGGCTATACCCTCGAAGCAGAGTAGGTCATATCGGTTGGCGGGGATCTCGATCTTCAGCTGGGGAGGTTCTTGGACACCATCCACGATAGGTCTCTCTTCATTCTCGGTATCTTCGTCTAGCTCGATACCAAACTCGAAACATAACTCTTCAAACTCGGCGGTGGTGAACCTGAATGATGGTGGAATGGTGTGTTAGTGGGGTAACATTCAGGGTCATGGAGGGGTTGAATGGTACGAACTGTTGACCCAGAGCCTCGTAGAGGTCATATTTGTTGACTGATATGGTAGGCATCTTCTATATGGCCCCTTATGAGGGTAGAACAGAGCCTAGAGGCCAGGTGTATTTGCGCAATTCGTTATTTCGAGGAATTGGTCGGTCCTGAGTCACCATCGACTTTGGAAATTCATTTGGGTTGCAGTTGTACATACGACCCCACCATGAGATATGCTTTATGCAATAGCGGGTGTGTGACCTACCTTAGCGCGGATATTATTCAAAACGGAAGATGAAGAGAGGGACAAGTACGTCAATAGCCCTTACATAACCAGGTAGGCCTATAACCAGGTACCTAATCTATACAAGTACAAGTACAAACCAAGTATAAAATGAATATAGCATGATACATAGGTAGGTATAGGTCACACTATCTGCTGGATGACCTTGGACGAAACATATAGCTCATACTCGGCCAATCAGCTTAATTTACGTTTGAACCTTTTGGCCAGGTATATTTCGTAAGCCAGCAATTATTCAAAACTGTCAGACCTATAAATCGCCTGCGGTATAACGAATACAGCTTCAGAGTGACATCACTGCTTCTAGTTACTGCATTCGGTCACATCGTGAACACATATGTTCGATCACATACGCAGCCCAACGCTGAGCTACGCTATACAAGCCTAAGATGTATAAGCGCTAACTTGATACGATTTAGATCTGCTAGAGGGTAAGAATTAAGAGACGGCTTTGTTTTTCGTTTAGGAACATTAGGCAGGTAACTAAAGTTACTAAAGACAGCATCGGAGGTGCACGGGAAATTACCTATGGCCTACCCAAAATACATGAAGCTGATAAGGTCCCTAAAATAAAGGTAAAAGATGAGCCAGGGGTGCAACGCGTAACAATACTTTCGAATTTAGGGCGGGGAAGTGCATGTAACGTACATAATTCCAAGGTACGTAGCATGATGAACAAGGGAACAAAAACGATATGTGGGGCATCTGTGGCACCCGGGCAGAGATTTCCATCATTAGGAGGTATCTCAAGCCAGACAGGACTAGACAACGCCTAAGCCACAATATTTTCAGAACTAAGAAGTCAAGGCAAGCGCCCCTTTGTTACCTCACTTACCTCACTTACCTCACTTACCTACCTTTACTTGCCCCATGCCTGATAATACCTGAAGTAGGTGCAGTACGGTACAATACCAAAGTACATAGTAGCTCTAGCCCGCCTTAAACCTATTTCCACCAAAAGCATCTTTCTCTTGGTCACAACACAATCCTATCCACCAAAGCGACCTTCCCATGATACCCCTCGATGATCTAATTTGGAAGACCTGATCCACGATTCACGGCGAACTGAAGACCACCCGTAGACGACTCACATCAAATTTACAAATTTACAACTCCGCCTATCCAACATACATTTTTTTTGGGCTATCGGAGCACTAGCGATAGTTGATCTCTGCCCGGTTTCGTCTCCAAGTCGCCAAATTGACCCGACATCGACCTAACTTAACTCATTGCATCACTCCACCAGACCGCCCACGCGATCAGCAAGCGCACTCCCAAGCCGGTTCTCAACTTGCCGGCCTCAACGCCTTCAGCACCTTTCGATTTTACTACTGCCTAATTACACCTCACCATGGCTGACGCGCCAAATGCGAACGATGAGCTGTACCCTATCGCCGTGCTCATAGATGAATTAAAGGTGAAGCGGTGACCCCAACCCATATATCACCACATATTAGGACCTCATCCTCTAACCTCGCCTTTAGCACGACGACGTTCTGCTCCGATTGAACGCCATCCATCGTCTATCAACAATCGCGCTCGCTTTAGGTCCCGAGCGCACTCGTGACGAACTCATTCCCTTTCTAGATGGTCAGATACCGACCCCAGCCTTTAAGCCAAACAATAATCTAACTTCAGCATCAGAGTCGGTCGAAGACGAAGATGAAGTTCTCGTAGCCCTAAGCGAGGAGCTGGGCAGCTTCATCGAATACGTAGGCGGGCCCCAATACGGCCACGTCCTCCTCTCCCCCCTCGAGAACCTCGCAGCTATCGAAGAGCCCGTCGTCCGGGATAAGGTCCGTCCATACAGCCTTGCGGGAATCCTTATCGTCATCTACTAACTATTTCTCGCAGGCCGTCGAGTCCCTCAACAAGATCTGCAGCGAGCTATCGTCCCAACAGGTCGAAGAGTACTTCATCCCTCTTACTATCCGACTATCTAAGGCAGACTGGTTTACCTCTAAGGTGTCCGGGTGCGGCCTCTTCACAGCTCCTTACTCGAAGGTGTCCCCTCCCGTCCAAGAACAGCTTCGCCAACAGTTTGGCCACCTAGTGCATGATGAAACCCCCATGGTGCGAAGACAATCCGCTACCAACATGGCTAAGTTCGTGAAAGAAATGCCCGCAGCTATCGTTGTGGAGGAGATGATACCCCTTTTCCAGCACCTCGCGCAGGATGACCAGGACAGCGTGCGATTATTGACTGTGGAGATTCTAATTTCTATCGCCGAGGTTGTGCCCAAGGAGCAGCAGGGCAGCCATGGCGTTTTGCTCACATCGTTACGAAATTTGATAGAGGACAAGAGCTGGAGGGTTCGATACATGATTGCTGATAGATTTGAAAAGGTACCAACCCCCTCCCTTGCTTCATGTTTTGTATAGCCTAGGCTAATGGCAAGCAACGCAGATTGCGAAAGCTGTAGACGAAGAGGTGGTCACTCGAGACCTAGTACCCTCGTTTGTCAAGCTACTGAAGGATAACGAGGCCGAAGTTAGGACTGCTATCGCCGGCCAGATCCCCGGCTTCTGCACTCTGGTCGATAGGACTACGCTGCTTAACGATATCATGAGCTCCATCGAAGACCTAGTCTCCGACACATCACAGCACGTCCGTGCCGCTCTAGGCACGCAGATCAGCGGCCTAGCCCCGATCTTGGGCAAACAAGAGTAAGCCTATCTACTAAATCTTAGGATCCTAGCCATTGACCTTTTTCAGAACTATCGACCACCTCCTTCCAATGTTCTTGCAGATGCTGAAGGATGAGTTTCCCGAAGTTCGTTTACATATCATCTCGAAACTCGAACTCGTCAACCAAGGTATATAACTCTCGCAAGACCCCGTAGAAGCTCGCGTTGTTAACGTTATCAGTCATCGGTATCGACCTACTCTCCCAGTCTCTTCTGCCCGCGATCGTGCAGCTCGCCGAAGATAAGCAATGGAGAGTACGACTTGCTATCATCGAGTATATCCCGCTCCTTGCTAGTCAGCTCGGCGTTCAGTTCTTCGACGAGAAGCTGAGCTCGCTGTGCATGGGCTGGCTAGGAGATACGGTCTTCTCTATCCGAGAGGCTGCAACTCATAACCTGAAGAAGCTCACCGAAGTGTTTGGAGTTGAGTGGGCTAGCGAAGCTATCATTCCGAAGGTGATGGCTATGGGCTCTCATCCTAATTATCTATACCGGATGACGACTTGCTTCGCCATCTCGGTAAGTGTCCTTACTATTTCCCGGCGATTTTTATAGATTCTAACCAGCCGTAGACTCTCGCGACTGTTGTCAGTTTGGACGTGATTGGAAAGTCGATTTTGCCTATGCTGGAAAAGCTTGTGGAGGACGAGATTCCCAACATACGCTTCAACGTGGCGAAGACGTACGCCGTGCTCATCGACGTCTTAAAACGACTCCCCGAAGAGGGTACCGTCTACAGTCTGGAGAAGGCCGGAACGACGACGACTACGCCGTCTCCTCGGGCAACCGAGCTCATCCAGCAGCGCATCCTGCCGAGCCTGGAGAAGCTGCAGAAGGACGACGACGTGGACGTGCGCTACTTTGCGACGACCGCGGTAGCAGGAATTCCCGGAATGGGTGGGGAGCCTATGAACACATCGCCGTAGATGAAAGATTAAAGAGAACTCTTTCAACATGCAGCCCATGTACTAGAGTGTCCTAGTCGCATCTCTCGCGAGATAGCCGTCCCGAATTGTCCAGCGTCAGTTCGTGCAAGGGTCCTTCAGAAGGTGAAATTTTGAGGGTCCGTAGAGTAGATGTATGGGAAGCACGCACACAGTCGTCGAATGCATTTTTTGGAGGTTTGTGTCCTGCTCGGCATTGAGGCCCGTAGGACTTTAAAGCTGCACAAACTTCTATAGAAGGGCTTCGAGCCATGAGCCCCAAACCGGCGCTCTTGTTTTGGAAGTTGCCTGATATGTGTATGATAAAAGACGAAAAAAAGAGCATGATGACCTAGTTTAATAAATCTCAGTCAAACAGGTTTGCAGTGATGCTGTTCCATCCTTCTAATCGTACTCTACTGGGGTATCTTTCCTAGGTTAATGCACTCCTACGTCTATGTTCGTACCGCCCGTGTTAATTTTAAATATCCCTGACTTTCTTAAAACATAAACTACTAATGGTCTGTCCCTTTACGCCGCCAAAACTAAAGCTGGGGTACTCGACCCTGCCGACTAGGTCGAACCGCCACCCTCTCGCGTCGCCGTCATCCTCTCCGTCCTTCCTAGCACCTTCGAACCAACTCTTCAGCTCCTCTTCGGTCCAGTTGCAGCTCGTAACAAGGAATAAGCCCCCATCGCGCACGAGAGGCGCAACCCGCGCTCTATAGGATTCACTAACACGACGCCCGCTCGCAGGGTCCGTCTCTGACGACAACGATATCGCGTCGAAAGTGCCCTTATCCAGTACGACGTCCCAGCCTTGCGGTTGTTGCACATCAGCCAGAAGCGCAGAGGCCGGCGTCTGAAGGATGTCGTGCTCGCGGAACTCGACCGGCTTTTCGCTTTCCGTTTCCGTGTCTTGCGATCGCGACTCCGCGATGCGCCGCGCGAACTCGACGCTCTGTCGCGAGTAGTCTACGCCTAGCATACGCCCTTGCCAACCCGCATCGCGCAGACCGAAGAGGAGAGATCCGTTGCCGGTGCCGAGGTCGAGGAATGAGGATTCTTCTAGGGAGAGGTGCAGTTCGGAGTCGGGGTCGGAGAGGAAGTCGATGACCTTGGCTTCGGCGTCCGAGTCGTCGAACCAGACGGTGCCGGTGTCGGCGGGGTTATGCGCGTGGTTGGAGATTTCGGCTGTGTAGAGGCTGTCCCAGCTGTTGGTTTGGTGTTAGACGAATGGGCTGGAGAGTGGAGGAGAATAGGTGGGCATACTATTCCTTGGTGCCCAGCTCGGACGGCTCGAGGTGTGTTGGCTTGGACATTGTAGAGGTTTTTATAAGTCAATTAGCTCTGGTAGCTAGGTACGTAGGAGAGACATGTTTGATTATGAAGCTATGGTTATGACCCTATTCTAGATTTGACCCAAATTACACACTTCACGATATAGTATCAGAATCGCAATCTTCAACTTTTAGAAGGTGGGAGGTTAAAGGAGGGGCATACGGCAGAACGGTACAAGATTGGTAGGCGGTCTCGTGTCTTGTTGGTAATCGAGATAAGATAAGATGAAGTATATTGCCAAGCTGCCAAGATGAATAAAAATGGAATGCACGGGCCAAGTATAAGCGACCGATAAGCGATAAGAGTCATTCACCTAAACTTTTCTGTCGTCACGGGCGAGGCGAATCTTCTTCGGCTTCCTTCTTCGGCTTCCGTGTAAACGTCTGTCGCAAATTCGATGCCCTCAGTATGTTTCGCGCTTGCTCGTCTAGATATTTAAATAGAGGTCTTACCTCTCCTGCGAGATCATGCGCTAGGGTATTCCGACCGCTTCAGACTCGCACGCTCGCCAGCGTGAACGTGCCAAGTCCAAAGGTGCGTTGACAATCTCATGTCTTGATTGCCTTCACTCATTCCTTTCGCTCACTCCTTTCACTCACTGCCTTCACCATGGATTCCTAAACCTATAAACTGACATAAAACAGGAACCGACAGAGCTCGACCAAATAACAACATTACCAAATGGAGTCCGAGTAGCATCAGAGGCTCTACCGGGGTCTTTCTCCGGTGTTGGCGTATATATCGAAGGCGGATCGAGATTCGAGAACACTTACTTGAGCGGGGTGAGCCACATCGTTGATCGACTGGCCTTCCATTCTACAGAAAACAAAACGGCAGAGGATATACAAGAGACGGTAGAGTCTCTAGGAGGAAACGTACAATGCGTATCCTCCCGGGAGTCTATGATGTACCAAGCCGCCACTTTCAACTCGGCTATCCCGACGGCGACTGAGCTACTTGCCGATACGATACGGAATCCCCGAATCACGGAGGAAGAGGTTGCCGGAGAACTTCTGACGGCCGAGTATGAAATCAACGAGATATGGAAGAAACCTGAGCTTATCCTGCCTGAGTTGGTGCATATGGCGGCCTTCAAGGGTAACACTCTTGGCAACCCTCTGCTATGTCCTCGGGAAAGGATACCGGAAATCAACAGTTCGGTAGTTAGGACATACAGAGACACTTTCTACCGTCCCGAACGGACCGTTGTCGCCTTTGCCGGTGTCCCGCATTCCGATGCGGTGCAACTAGCATCCAAGTTCTTCGGAGATATGCAAGCTTCTGGACACCCTCTCCTGTCTCGGACGGATTCGCTGTCATCGGATAGCACCGATACCTCAACTTCTTCATTTTCCTCAGCATCATCATCTCCCCCATCAACAGCATCTAGTATAATGTCCAAGTTACCCCTATTCAAAAACCTCTCTACTTCCGCAAGCCGCAACGCATCCGTCTCTACCACTCCGGCCATCTCGCCATCGCTGGAAGAACTCACCATGCCCGCGCATTATACCGGTGGTTTCGTCGCGCTCCCACCACAACCTCCCAGTACCAACCCCAACCAACCCGTATTTACTCACATTCACCTCGCCTTCGAGGGATTACCCATCGCATCAGATGATATTTATGCGCTGGCAACGCTTAACACGCTTCTCGGCGGCGGCGGATCCTTCTCCGCCGGCGGACCCGGGAAGGGCATGTATTCAAGACTGTACACCAACGTGCTCAACCAACACGCTTGGGTAGAGTCTTGTATCGCTTTCAACCATTCTTACACAGATTCCGGGCTGTTCGGCATCTCTGCTCAATGCATCCCCGGCCGCACACAGCACATGCTCGATGTCATGTGCCAAGAATTGAGGGCGCTTACTGTAGAAACCGGTTTTGCTGCCCTTGGCCATGCCGAAGTTAACCGCGCCAAGAATCAGCTACGTTCCAGTCTCCTAATGAACTTGGAGAGTCGAATGGTCGAGCTAGAAGATCTAGGCAGGCAAGTCCAGGTGCACGGCCGCAAGGTACCGGTCCAGGAGATGTGCCGAAAGATCGAGAGCCTCACGATTAATGACTTACGCCGGGTGGCGAAACAGGTTGTAGGGGGATTAGTACAAAACAACGGTAGAGGAAGCGGTGCTCCGACCGTGGTGCTACAAGAGGCCCAACACCCATTCAGCTCTATAAAACAAATGTCTTGGGAAGAGATACAGGATAGGATATACAAATGGGGCCTAGGTAAGAGGTAAACGGTAAGGAACTTGGCCGCCTCCGACAGCAGCGAGGTTCCTAGAAGCAATCATGCGCAATTTTGGGATCTACGATACGGCTAGTCCGAACCTAGTCCCCGAGCGCTCTCGCTTCGAGGAGCCCTTCAGTGTACAATGATGTATATTAGCGATGACAAGCGTCGGATTCTGTACGATGTAGACATGATCACAAGCATACCCGACTAATCGAGGCATTCCCAATCTCACGTTCTAGAATGGAGGCACGGCGCATAACTATGGACTACGAATAGGAGCAACTGCCCTAAAACGCCGCGTAAGCTTGATACCTACTAACGAGGATGAAGAGTATTTACGTCCTACGTCGGGACTCGACATGATCGGGTATATTAGCAGGAAGCGGAAATGAGTGTTCCAACGAGGTAGGACAAATACTGCTTCGAGTTGATGGACTTGTGGGCTATTACATGACTGCATTCGACAACCGTGCCATAAGCTTCCTCTCCATGCTATAGAGCAACGTGAACCGGCCTATGATTTCTGCTTCCAGCACACCGACGCACGTTTTCCGTACGATACAGTCTATCGGGGTTTCACGACAGTCCGCGAAGTTGCAGACGCTGGGACACGGACCGCCAGATCTCGGCTCTTGATCGTGGCACCGGGTCGCTATCTGGCGTAATCTGTGCCCGCCCCCGTGTTTCTCCCGTGTTTGCTCTGCCGTGTCGGTCTAGCTATCTATGGACCTGGTTCGGGTACCGGCGTAGGTGATCTACGCTGAAACTATATAAGCGGCAGTGGGATGAGTAGTAGATTATAACTAGACCCCTATCGCCATGCGTCCATCGCCTTGTCGGTAGCCATCGTCTAGTCCGCATTGTTTAGCTCTTAGATTAGGTACCTAACACGCATTGCCTATATCGACGCATCTTCGTATATCAAAATAGTAAACCACACTTACCACACAAGCAAAAACACCTCCCTAACCATGACGGCCATCACAAAAACAACACGCGGCCCCGACGGCACACAATCAACCCTAACGTACCGTCTTCCTCCTCAGACAACCCCCTTCGCCCCCTCCCAAAGCCAAGCCATGCCGTCCTCATGCTCCTTCTCCGTATACTGCCGCAGCCTCTCGTACTACGTATACTCGATGAACACAGCCGCGCACGACGCGCACCCCCTCGAGGGACAACACTGTCTCGCGGTGCAGGACCTCACTTCCGATCACCGGGTCGGCTATAACGCCGAGTGCTGGCCCGAGAACTACTTCGCGCTGTTCGACAACGAGTGGGGCGAACTAAACGGCGCGCCGAGGAGCGGCAACGAAGGGAGCGCTTCGACGGCTGCGTTTCCCGGGGATAAGTGTCTGGCGGGGTGGACGGTGGCGTGTACGACGACGATTACGGCTGGGGGCGGCGACATAGACAGTCACAACAACAACAACAACAACAACAACAACAACAACAACAACAACAACAACAACAACAACAACAACAACAGGAATGGATCTAAGAATGAGAACGCAGGTAACGAAAAAGTGCCCGAGCTCTACCCCCAAGCATGGTGCTGCCCCCCCGGCCAATGGACCTGCGCCACCGCCACCGCCGAAGGCGACAGACAAGCCCCCCAACGGCTATGCCAGAGCTATCTGACCGGGTCGACGAGCACCGACATCTGGATGTACTGGGACCCGGAGTTCGACACCGAGACCCCGGACGGGTCCACGTCGAGCCTCTTCGAGGCGTATACCTGGACCGCGGACGTCCCCGGGGAGCCGGACCCGACGCACGCCGCGACGGTGTTTCGGAAGGTGTTTCCCCTGGTGCTGAGTAGCAGCGCTGGCGCCGGCCCCGGCACTAATCCGGGCCTGGGAGCCGGGACCTCGGAAACATCAACATCAACAGCAGCAGCAGTAGTAGTTACAGTGACGGAAGTCGTTACGCTAGAGCCGACCCCAAGAATGCCCTCAGCAGCAGTAGCAGCGCGGGATAAAAGAACGGAGCCGGTGGCCGGGCTGCTACCGCCCGGGGGCCACTTGCTGACGTCGAGGTGTCTTGCTGCGGTCCTGCTGGGAGCTGCTTTCGCGACGGCGGTTATGTCGGTTTTTGGGTTCGCGTTGCTGTATCGCGGGAAGAGGAGAAGGCGGGAGCCGAGGTATCGCAAGGTTTTTGCTGACAATACCGTTTCCAAGGCGTCTCTCGACGATGCTGGGAAATGCGAAGTGGGAATTCTGTTCCAGCCTCGGGATATGGAGACCAGTTGAAGGCAGGCTAGCGTTTGGATTAGGCGTGTAGTTTTAGGTAGGCTCGTGAGGATTTGATTCGTATCCTTGAGTTTTGTTAAGAGTATTAATCTAGGTTAACCTTTTTCTTCAATCTATTATAGAATTGTTCCAGTTGGTGCTCTCGATCTCAAAGATCTACTTGTTATACGTCCCATAGCTAGGTACCCAGCCTCACAATTCACCAGACTCGTAAAAAAAGACAGCAAAGTTGTATAAGAAAAATCGAATCTATAAGATCTGTTTTTTTTCGCAGCCAATAGGTGCTACCGTGACCTATCTATTAAATTTGATGTTCCCGCCCCTACTCCGTATAAAGCGATATTCGAGATAATTCATAAGTCATGAAACCGTCCTCTTACGGTCCGCGTTGAACCTAGTATACGGCATCGCATGTTGTCTGCTAGACGTCTTTTATAATTATATCCCCAGCCATAAAAAAAATGCAAATTTTCAAACCCCCTTTTAGAATTCCCTTTTTTTTTCTTGCCAGCAATATGCAGATATCATCAATCATTGGATCTGGGCCATCCTTTTAGACATGCTATTGTCATGTTAGCTTGGGTACTATCGCTCGACAGTTAGGGGCAACTTACAAAGCATAGAAAGCAAATTGGCTAGGGCTGCTGCCAAACTCGTACACGAAGCGGGAAGCAAGGTAACTTCCGAAGATGGCGCGAAGGTACGAGTCGGGTACGCGGCTGATGATGGTGTCTAGACCGATCTTGTCGATGAGCAACTTGGGCAAAGCATCTGCAAGAACGGCCCTCCGAATTTTAGGGTTCTCCCATAGGTCTGATTTCTGAAGCTCTTCATCTAGAGTCGTAATGGCAAGGGAAAGTGTGTCGGAAAGCACGGACCGCGGTACACCGGTCTGCTCGTGCTCTCGCCAGATCGCCTCGAATTCGAGACGAGCGTTTTCGCAGATGGTGGCTTGTACTTGCTTGACGTACGCCTTGTAGAACTCTGGGGCTTCGCCGTTCGCGTTGTGGCACATATTCTCGGCAAATCCCTCGTCGTCAAAGCTAAGCGAGGCGAGGACTTCGAGAGACGACGAGGTTACACCACCCTTGTTAGCAGATGCATCCTTGAATAGAATGCAACCAGCCTGCTCGAGACGCAACTTGGCGTCTTGGGTGATGAATAGATTAGCACCCTCCACGATGTAAGGAATCGCCGTCCTGCCATCCCTAATCAACTTGGAAACTGTAGAAAGGTCGATCGACTCGGGACGGCCGCCGCAAGGAACGAAGATGTCAGTCAGACCGGTGTCTCTGAGATGGTAAAAGTTGCGGAAGGACGTGCCGTTAGGAACAACTTCGCCGGTCGGCAATGTGACGTTGCTATCGTCACATAGGACTCTGAAGCCATCCTTAGACAGCTTGGAGAGGTCGAACTGCGAGATCATGACACGCTTCTTGGCCAAGCGTACGAGCTCGTCCTTGTCGATACCGTTGGGATCGACGAGCACACCAGATCCATCCACGATGGCCGTGTACTTCTCGTTACTCAGAATGATTTCGTTGCTGCCAAGGTCGCCGTCCGGACCTCCGGTCTGCATCTTCCTCACCTGGGAGGGGTCTAAATTCATCTTTCGGTAGATACCCTTGACAAACTCACGAACGGACAATGTCGTCATGCCGTATGCATCGTGAGGGATGCCACCAAGTTTAGGCGACTTGCCAGTGAAGAAGGACTTCCACCACGGCGCACCTCGGGCGCGAGCGTGCTCGGTGGCCCAATCGACGAGGTCTGCAGTGTTCTCATCCGGACCTAGGAAAAGAATCTCTTCTTTACGGTAAAGGTCTACAATAGGGTTTTTGATACCAGGGGTCTCGGCAGGGAGGAGAAGATCCAAGATACTATCAATGTACTTCTCAAACGCCTCCCGAGCACGGTCCTGCTGCTTGGCGTCGAGGAGGACCACACCCTTCGAACCGCCTTCGGGGATGTCCTTGTTCTTGCGCTGTTGGGTGCTTGCGAGAGCATAGTTCTCGTCAAAGAGGTTCCTAGCATTGATGCTGTAAGTTTCCTTGCTGCGGGACTTGACAATTCGGATACCGCCTCGGGCAACATCCTTGAAGCGCAAATGAAAGCCGCGGGCTTCTGCGCTAATCACGAGGAACATGCCGTACAAACGTCGAGGATATTCAATCTCTGGCAAGAAGGATGGGTCGAGACGGAAGCTGAGAGCCACTTTCGTGGGCGTGAAGTAGTTGGTCTTCAAGATGGCATTGTTGAAGATGCGGAAGGCTGTCATCACCATTTCGTCGTGCTCATTAGACACTTCTCGGGTGATCGCCTCCTTAAGCCGGGCATCCGACAGTACTTCTACGGCCGGTGTCGGCGCAATTATGCTCTTCTCAAAACCGGGACCGACGCTTAGATGTATGCTAGCAAATGCGGCATACAGCAGGCGTACTAATTTAGGGTAGGACGAGATAATCTCAAGTATGTAATCCGGCGTGAACGTCTCTGTACGGAGACGGCGCTTCAGCTTAGATAGGATCTCCACATGCGCCGGATTCTTAGAATCTAAAGCTTGCTTGATGGACACGTACTCTGTGCCAAGGCGGTTCAGGAAGTGCTGAACGAAGACCCAGACGCAGTGGCCATAGACTGTCTCCTGCAAGCTTAGCGCACCAGAGGCAAACAAGGAGTGAAGTTTGTTCTGGGGTATGCAGTACAGAAGGGAAATCTCCTTGGTGATCTGGTGAATCGACAGCTCGATCGGCATGGGTTTGGTGTCTATGTTCGTCGCCGGCTTCAGGTAGATACTCATGACTGTGATGCCGTTGGAGAATTGCTCTACATACTTCCTGGTGCTTGTGACACCATAGTAGTGGTAAAGGTCGCTCATGGCGCTGAAAATACCCCTGGCAGTACGAGAACGGAAAGCCGTGACGAGACGCTTCTCCTCGGAGCCCTCGATATCAAAGACCTCGATGACGGGTCCATTCCTGGTAACGGCGAGCTTGATAATGTCACCGTAGACCTGCTTGGTGTTCTTAGTTGCCTTCGTCAGGAACATACGATCGCTAATGACCTCGAGACGCGTCTCACCCGGCTCCGGGTTTGCATCCACAAACTGGCACTGATATACAAAGTAGCATCGCAGAGAAGCCTTGGATGAAGGATCGTTAGAGACGGTACCAGGGGAGCGGAACGTTTCAACCCTGAAGCGCTTGTTGGGGTCGGAATGGTCGAGATACTTCTCCTCGAGCCTGTTTTCGAACCGCGGGCCGTGCAACGAGCTCTTACCAGGTTCGCTTGTGTCGATATATATGGCGTGGTCAGTAGCTTCCATGTCCAGACGGATCTCCTCGCGCTTGTCCACGCGAGCGTAAGCAGCAACTTTGGCAGCATACATGGAGGTGATGTGGGTCGCAATAACATCGACGCTTTCCATCTGGAAGTAGACATCGTCGATGCCTAGCTCGTTGTAGAACCACGAGACCTGCTCGTCAAGATGCGATTCGGGAATCCATCCTTGCTTAAGGATAAGGCTCTTGACTATTACATGTTAGAGAAATTGAGGATATCGTAAGCGCTGCCGACTGACCTTGCTCTATCTGCTCATCACGCCCCTTAAACTCGGGCGCAATATATCCCACAGTAGCGGAGCGTAGAACCCTGTGGCCATTGCCGCCCAGAGTCCCCAGCGGTACTGAGAAGTGGGTGGGTTGAGGCGAAGGGTGTCGAGAGACTTGGTCGGTATCCTGAACCTTGCCCAGCAGCTTGTTAGCCGGGCTCGGGTTTGGAGCGACGCCGCTAGTCGTCATGATTTGAGTTTTAGGTTCCAAAACCTCAAACGGCTCAAACGGATCTGAGTACTGTGGAAATCTATCCAGATTTAGGTCAGTCGTCTGAAGCGTCAACATCTTGACCACCATGTTGGAGACAAGAATCTGAGCAGCTTGCGACTCGGGAGGGGAGACAATGAAAGATAAAGGCGCACAGGAAGGGCTCAGAACCATGAAAAGGGATAGGACGGGAACAGAACAACAGGGGGATCGAGGGAGAAGAGATGATCTCTTATACAGAATAAAACTCGAAGGGTAACGCAGAAGGCGTCATTACCGTGTATAATGACTATCCTCTTGTTGAGCTCAGGGACTACCCCAGAGATTGACATCGAGGTACAACGAGCAAGTAAGTGACAAGATGAGATTACTGTAGTATAACGAGATAGAGGAAACGGGTTCGGTAATTTTCAGATCCCATATTGCACTTGACAAGGGTGGCCAAAGCGCCGGCAGGTCAAGCGAGACCAGTTCAGCACAATATTGGAATATGAAAATACGAGTGCCGTTATCGTGTCTCGAATTGTACGGGCCAGAAATAGCATGGAGTCAACTTCACCGCTCGATGCTTCGGGTAGCGTTGAGTTATGTCGACGGCCATACCCCTGATAAGGAAACTAATAACACAAACAGGCTGAACAATAAGAGACGTACCGACAAAGCGTTAGAAGGTTGCCCCGGAATTAACTTAACGAACTCACGGGTCCACTATTAAGTTAATAGGAGACTGGTGGACGTAAAGAGTGAACTGCAAGATCTGCCCTCGCGTGTTAGTTAGAGTTGGAGATACAGGTGGTCGGTTAGGGAGGCGTGTGTATAAGGAGGTCTTGTAGGTAGGTCTTGTATATGCAATACTACAGAAAGCACAAAAAGACGACAGCAACCTTGGAGGTGTGGTTGGCCGGATGGCTGATTGGCTGATTTGGCAGCCGGAATAGGTTACAGGAATGGAAGTGGTACCTTAATAAAGATGATGCAAGAAACCTCAATGCTTCAAGGTTTTAAACAGAGTTGGAAATAACGCGGTAACGAGGTTTAAATCTAAAGTCCTCGTTATACGATATTGCCGTAGATGGTTACACGTCCTCGAACTTTCCGAGAAGACTATATCGGGTTAGGCCGAGTTGTGTATTAAAGAGGTAGGTAATGAAATACGGATGACGGTGGGCGGCAAAGATAATGACGGGGTAGAGATTAAGCTAACACGATAGGGGACTCCGGTAAACCAAATCCGCAAGATAAGGATAATAATAAGATGAACTAACTTTGTAGCTGAGTCGAAAGCGTGATTCAGACTCAATTCGTCGTTTCGTCCATAGCCAAAGCAAATTGATGACGATCGTGAAGTTGAGAAAAGGGGAGCCACCGGCTTCTTATATACCGTACCGTTAAAAACAAGGAAGTAAAACCGTCAGCAGCTATTACACATAGAGAATCACGTTTTCAGCGGCTGTGCTCGTGGTGTACTCTGTGCACTGTACGTCGAGGACTCGTTCCAGCTTCTGCGACAGACATCCTTGCAGTTAGCAAATTTAGCATCGCAGGGTTTCCTGGGGCATGGCATGTATGTACAATACGGTTCTCGAAATCTGAGGGTATCGCTTGGTATTCCAATTCCAATTCCACTTACCTAGTATTGGAAAGACATGACGGACCCAGTAGAAGAAAACCAATCGAAGATTCTTTTCATCACGGTGAACGCAAATGGAACAAAAAGAGAGGCTAACCCTGCAGCTAACTGGAACGGGCGGAACGCTACGCTCCTATTGGCCCAAGGGTCTGGGTACCTGAAAATCCGTATAGCTGGAGTACCGGGTCGCCTGGAGTTGTATGCCGCGGTACTTGGGTCCTGGCGGTGACACGGGTCACCCGTAGCCAAGGGAACAGCCATGCGGCGAGCATCCAGAACTCGTTGGAAGAACAACTTCAGCATCACATGTCGTCTCGGACCGGGGTTTAGTGGATCGCGATGGATCTACTATGCGATCCAACGGTCTGAGTTTTCTCTCAAACTTGGACGAGCCTAGACGATTATTGACCGTATCAAGTACCGACGGCTATTCGAGGAGGATTTCGACGTCGAGACCACGAGGTACCTCTTCGAACTTCTCCGGGGTCGACCAAGTATCTATCGCCTTGTAGGTACGCGGTATACATCGTGACATACAACGCGACACAAGTCCCCAGCTTTTTTTTCTCTCAGCTGTCCGGCGGATAGGATACCTATTGAGCCAGACCCATCCGTCTCAGCAGGTGAGTAAGAGTAAGCTCTTGCAAATTACCTACATGAATGGCAATGTGATCGCCTCCTTCGGATAGGTAAGTACCTAGGTAAGGTAATATGCAAATCATTTGTTGGAGTGATAATCCTAGGGTCTCGTCTTTACATGTTGATCCCGTCTATCAATCACCAGCTCACCTCTCTTTCTCCTTATCCTTCTAGCCCCTAACCCCCCAAGGAGAGTTGCTAGAACGAATCATATTGACCATCGTTAAATAAGGGATACCGTCTAGCGTACCCAGGTAGTTCAGGTGCCATGTCCAGGTGCCATTCTGATAACAGATAGCGGCTCATCGCGTTAGGCTCGCGCATTAATAACTTCAGACCTGTATCTTTACCGCCTCTTACATAGGAGGCCCAATGACAGGCTGTGGCGCAACTGGTATATCCAATGACCCAATGGATGTTGCAATACCTATCGCTATCGAGTTCAGGAATGATGAAACAGCGCAGAGATGGAATTGGCTCTCGATGCTTTGGGAAGCTGAAGGGAGAGAAAATTTCGAGATGGCTGATGATCAATTGGAAGCGGACCTTGTTGCAATGGAAATTACATGTACGCGAAGGTACCTAGATACTTAGCTTGGGGTACAATTAGGTACAATTACAGGTAGAAATGATGGAATAGGTACCTAGGAATTACCTATAGGTACGTCCAAGTGCGAGCAGGTACTTCTATACATAAGGGTACTTCGTACGTAAGTTAAAAATGGCAGCAACGCGTACCGGCTCTTAGCATACCTCCATAAGGCATAGCGCTGTAGCCCCAGCTCTGCACCTCTCGGGTGACTTGGTTAAGGTCCACCTGCCCCGCGATTTCGACGGTGTCATCCAGGAACCGCATACGTAAAAAGCTGCGATTCTTATTTTCTATTACCCCCATATTACTTGATAGCAGCGTCTATCGAACCCAATGGAGCAGCACGAGGTCAGCCGATTTGACGCCAGGCAACTCGAACGGCCTCGTGATAGCTCAACAACTCTCTCTTGGCCTGCCGGTACACATTGACGGTCCCAGGGTTCGACTTCTCATTACTAAACTTGTCGTGAGGTTAGTGGTCCAGCACCCCTTTCTCTTGGGTTAAGGGGTTTCCTCAGTTTTCATGGCGACATCTCCTCCGAAAACAACGTCATGAGAACCGGTTGAGATCTCGAAACGAAAATATAGTCTCCTTTTTTTTGCGGAGCACAAGTGGAACAATTCCTCTCTTTACTCCTGTACTGGGTGACACTGCAGGGACAATCATCTGTTACCATCGCCGCGTCCAGGATAGGGAGTTGTGTTCAGCGTTCGTTCGTTCGTTTTGACTAACGTAAACAACCTTATGCCGGCAGCTTTCTGCCGCAATTCCAAGAATGGTAGCTCTGAGACGGGGAGCTCAAGCGTGTTGTCCGCCTTACTGGTTCGTTCCTAGTCATATTGCTTCGTGGCAACCTTGATAGGAGAGAAAAAGGGGATGAGAATCTCAAGAAAACATTACGATACGGTAAGGTTCCACAAACAATACGGGACACGGAGAGAACCAGTTTGTGGGATTATGCAGCGTTTACCGATCGATGATTACGGTCCGGAACAGGGCTATTTTTAAACTCTCTTCCACGTTTTCGCCCTGTAACAGCTGTAACAGCTGTAGCCTCCTATCAACGACTATACGCATATCAAAACTGGAGTTGTACGTACTGCATACGCACTCTGCCCCTGAATCGTAGATAAGCACCGCCACGAGTGTGGATTTGTGAAACGGCCAACGGTCGAAAATACGAGGGAGGACCATTCAGTCCTTATCAGCCTTTTCTTTCCAAGACTATCAGACATACAGGACATATTGTTATTCGACCGTAGACTACATAGAAGCCTCCATCATCGTAGATACAATCTCACGGTATGATCCGAGGGTGTGCATATGTATGCATTATCTTTCGGTTCAGGGAGCTTGGAAGTTAGCCCCAACATTTAACCATACCCAGACAGCCACAGAGAGCAGGTCGACGCATGTGGTATTCATTAATCCAGGAGCGGCCCGTAAGGGACATGCAAATAATCGCAGCCCTCGATTGGAACCGCTCTGCCGGTGTTCACCCCAAGTTGAAGGGTACGACGCCCTATCCGCCAGCGTTGGATTTGCCGATGGGCGATGAGAAGTGGCCACGCAATGTTAATGTTAATTGCACAATTAGTTTAGAGGCAACTAGCGGAATTCGTATTATCAATTTATCTATCTAGCCGTAACGTTGTTCGCGATTCTTGTCAGTTTGAAGCGAAAAAGCCAAGCCGTTGTTGCATTGCAGCGTCGATCCAGAAATTGATACCATCTCCATGTTTTGTACATGCTCCTCTACGCTCCTTATGCCGAAGAACAATATATCCGATCTGTCCAAGAAAGCTTAACGAAGCTTGTTAACCCAATTTGTGCGACCCGAGCCTGTCTGGCTATGCGGTCTATCTGCGGCGTCTGGACACGTTGCGGATATTTACATCCAGGTAGGCAGAACGTCGTCAAAAAACATGTTTTATACTGTGGTGGTTAGTATGGGGTATCTTTTTTGACGCCATTCTGGTAGGTCGGCTCGTTGATTTTTGTTTCGTAAGTAAGTTGGATCGATTTGTCTTTTTTGATGGATTATGACTAAACGCTTTCTTCGCTTAATCGAAGTTGGTCTCGGGTTAGGTATGCGTTAGGTAATCGACGTAATTGCTTGCAGTAAGATCGCCCCAATCCCGTCTTTTCTACCCCACCTACCATATTTGGGTTTGGGTTCAAGGTTCGGAAAGGCAGAAAGGTTGTCACTGCCGTAAGGATTGGAATCAAATCGCGGGGTTTATCGAGAGAAAAATCAAAGTCGGACTGACGGGAAGTAACTCACAACTCACCACTCACCACTTGCTATCTTCAACAAACGCGATCACGACTATTATTCATCGAATCAGTTCAAGCGTGGACCATATTTCATAATTATATACAAAGTAACACTGCTACTATTTTTTTTTCCTAACTTAGAATGAACGCCTCATCCGACCAATCGCACTTTTCGAATCTTCGTGCTCAGGCTGAAATCTTAGATGGGGAGGATGGACTCCGTCGTTTGAGAGACGAATTTCAAATCCCCACTAAGGCTGATATTAAACGAACAACACTGGAGCAGCCGCAGCAACAGAAGCAACAAGGTGAACTGCCTTTTCCGGTCTGTAGCAACCGAGATCCGTCAGCTCATACTGAACTTCCCTAGATCGTAACGATCCCGCCCCAGCCGACGAGACAACCGCGTGTACATACCTCTGCGGGAACTCTCTCGGACTGCAACCCAAAAGAACAGCAACTCGCATCAACCAGTATCTCCAAACCTGGTCCACTCAGGCCGTCCAGGGGCACTTTAAGCCTTTAGACGACTCTCCTCTACCGACATGGCTCGACGCTGACGCTCGAGCTGCCAAATCGATGGCCTCCATAGTCGGCGCGGACGAATCAGAAGTAGCTGTCATGCAGACCCTGACAGCGAACCTGCATCTATTGATGTCCGCCTTCTACCGTCCGGATCCAAAGGGGAAGCACAAAATCATCCTAGAAAGCAAGGCTTTCCCAAGCGATCATGTAAGAGATGATCCGCATGACGACAGACGTGCGTTCGCTGAGACGTGATAGTTTGCCGTACTAAGCCAGATCCGCCATCATGGTCTCTCCCCAAGCACGTCCATGGTGACCATAGAGTCGCCCTACTCGGAGGACGCCCTCATCACCACCTACGACATCCAGTCTATCATCTCGAAGCACGCATCAGACACGGCGTTGATCCTGCTGCCCGGCATCCAGTATTATACCGGCCAGCTGTTGGATATCCCAACCATCACCGCGTACGCGCACAAGCACAACATCTTCATCATCTGGGACCTAGCGCACGCGGTGGGCAACGTCCCCCTTCACCTGCACGACTGGGACGTAGATGCCGCGGCCTGGTGCACGTATAAGTACCTCAACGGCGGCCCGGGTTGCATAGGAGGTATGTTCATCAATTCTCGCAACAGCTTAGTGACCACGACGATCGCCGACGAGGAACCCGAGAGGGGATACGGCAAACGACTGTCAGGCTGGTGGGGAAATGACAAGGCAACTCGCTTCCAGATGGAGACTAAGTTCCACCCCGTAAAAGGAGCAGCCGGATTCCAGCTGAGTAACCCCAGCATCCTCGACATCACAAGTCTAAGCGCCTCGCTCGAGGTTTTCGAACTTGCCGGCGGAGTGTCGCCCCTCCGAGAGAAATCCAAGAGGCTTACGGCGTTCCTGGAGCAGTGCCTCTCCCTCTTATCGGAAGATGCCAAACAGCTCTTTAGAATTATCACGCCGTCCGACCCGGACCAGCGCGGTGCCCAGCTGAGTCTGTTGCTGGCAGACAGTATCCTAGACCCGGTGATGAAGGAGTTAGAGACGAACGGAGTCATCGTAGACGAGAGGAAGCCAAACGTAGTCCGCGTCGCTCCTGCTCCCCTGTACAACTCGTTCGAGGACTGCGTCGCGTTCGCCGAAGCTTTCGAGTCAGCCCTGGTGGCGACGCAGAAAGATCTATAAATTAGCCCCTATCGACGATAGTGATTAGACGTTTCCTTCTTACCAAGCCGAATTTAAACTCGTATACTTTTGGACGATAAAGGTAAATTGTATGTAGGATGGGGTTAGAATAGAACGAGAAGCGACACGGATGATATTCACTTTACATATTCAGTTCGGCCAAGAGCTGTAGGACTATCCATACCCTTTTTTCGTACTGTACTTTGCGCGGGCGTCATCTACAAGGACGTATCTTGGACCTTTATGCTACTTCATATACATTTCTAATTTTGAACTCTTTTAAGCTCTCAAATTTGATTCCCTCTTCTCTTAGACCGGTTCCGATTATTATTAAGCAGAATCTGGGGCAAGTAACAATTCCCTGGTATCCGTATCAACTAACCTACCATATATAGTCACATATAATATGCTATGCAATGAGTACATTTGGAAGATCAGTCTATATTCTTTATTTGAACCAGCAATGCGACACTAATATTGCTACTAGCTCCGGACAGCACCAACCCCCAACTCCCCCCCTTTGTATCCAGCCATAACCCAACAACGAATGACAGCTCATAAAACCCAAGAAGCAAGACCATGGACCATTCAACAACCCTTCGGAAATGGACCCGGAAAGGTAGATGAAAACGAGAGTATCAGAAAGGGGCCCCTGAGATAAACCCATGCAAAATAAGATCTAATATTAAGCTCCTCTCACTTCATCAGGTAGAGATTTCTCTTCGTTGTGACCCTTAGCGCTACCTCATCCTCGTAAATCCTCTAAGGTGAACCAGAAGGGACTGAAGGGAGGCCGGTAGGGAGGCCGGTCGGGACGCCAGTAGGAACACCACCGTTAGGGAAACCAGTAGGGAAACCAGTAGGAAGACCAGTTGGGCGGCTTGTAGGAAAACCACTGGGGGGACCGTTGGCGAAGTCGCTTGGGAAGCCACTCGGAAGACCGCTAGGAAAGACACTAGGGAATCCGCTCGGGAAGCCGCTAGGAAAATTAGTCGGGAAGCCGCTCGGCGGACCGGTAAAACTACCACCAGAAGGCAGCGTCAAACCGGAAGGAATGGGGTGGTTGCCGTTAATAGCTGAGGGCCAGCCGCCGTTCGAATCTCCCGGCTGAGGTAGGTTTGTCGGAACTGAGCCCGGGGTTATGCTGGGCTGCTGTGGAGCAGGCAAGCCAAGGACGACGGCAACTAAGGTTGCGAGCGAGAGAGTTTTGAAGAGCATTTTGTTGGGATGGTAGTTGAAAAAGGTATTGTCTCTAAAAGTCGGAAAGGTAATGATTTAACGGATCGAAAATTTTATAGATGATGTTAAGTTCTTGTTCGACGATATAAGAATTTTGTTTGCTACCAAGTGAAAAATACATTATGGAAAGACACTCCATTTATAAGGAGAATTTTACAATATCTTTCACCCGTCGATCTGTTTGCACTTTCAAGAGATAGCTGTAAGAAGTTTCGCAATCCTGCTACCTCCCCCATCGCTGCGCCAAAGGCGGATTTGAAACCGAGGAGGCTTGTTACGCGTAAAATGCGCAAACGACTGAATACCTAATTATCCTGCGACGGGCTTATATGCAGCACATCATATCATCCAATACATAAATAGACGGAAGAAGCCGACAGCCCTGCCGCACCGGTTTGTACGACCCCCAATTCGTCAAGGGAGTCAGTCCCATACCTATATTAAGGATGCCGTTTGCTCTCGGCCTGTCAAATTCGCCGTGGCTTGCTGATGGCGCCCGCTCAGTCGGGTCCGTGGGAATTCGTAATGTGTTGGAAGCTGAGCCACCAGTTAGATGCCTTTCATATTCCTCTTCGGTACTCGTCACCTGATCTTTTGGTTTGGACGAGCTTAGAATAGAAAGCCTGGTATTTGCTACGCAAGAAAGAGATTTGGCGGCCGCGTGCTGGGGGTAGGTACATGGCTACGCGTAATGAGGCACACGTAAGGCGTTCTTGGAGTGGATTCTTTGCGCCTCCTCGGGCCCGAGTAACTACGATTTGTCCTGGAGGGTTAATATATATATTGTTTGCCTGATCTATTCGTCGTGAGGATTATTTCAGACGCCTGGTCGGTGGTTAGATTTAGATCGAAAATCCCTCTTTGTTGATGCTTTGGGAAATATTATTCAAGTCTCTTGGTTAGGACTATGAATTCCTTTGTGAAACAACGGCCTCCCCTATGTCGAAGTTGAAGTCGTTGTCAGATTAATTTATAGCTGGAATTTCTGGATTGCCAATTTAGCAGATAGTTGCTAAAATAATCTCTAGTACTGTGAGGTATGATTCCCCTTCTCTTGGCTTAGGGTCCCGAGTAGTCGAAGACTCAACTATAGTGCCTCCATAAACTCAATCTTTGTAAAGGGAAAAGACCTAGTTGTTCATTCATTGCGCGTGAGACATCTTCCATGACCTGTAATTTCTCTACTGCCTCTTCTTTTTTTCTCTCGGTTAAATCACTAAGTCAGCATGTTGAACTGTATGAGTGTACAACGAGAGAAAGTGGCAACGGCATTCTTTCAACTCGAATATTCACACCCATAGTCTATGAACTCAAGTTTTGTGAAATTGCTGGATTGGTAGAGAAACTCGGTCTACACCCTCGGTTTTGGAAGAGATATTGTTTACTAGCCTTACTACGGGCCGGTAAAATTAAGCATACAATTTCTTGATGGCCAGTATCAAGCTGTTTGCAATACCGGTGGCATTTGATCAAGGCTGGCCATGGAGGCGTAGAGGTCTTTGAGCTTCCCGTAAGTCTGAACACATCGAAGAGTGTTTATATTGATCTTAAAGTCCAACAGGTGATAAAATGCGGTCTTTGATGGCCCTCTATATATTAAAAATACTCTCAAGAATCGATGACTCTATACATGAAGATTATGATATGTACATGATATTCTCTTTCTGTGAGAATGCGATATGCAACACCTTTCTAAACGACCAGTCACAGGGTTTCTTCCACTTCTGTGGAACTGTGGCGTCAACAACTTCCACTCTACCGGCTCTCCCGCGTCCCGTAATACTCAGGTTTCGCCTATGTACAAACTTTAAGCTAACTCATATGTCTTCGTAGCAGTAGCAGCGTCATTCGATAATTCGGCTCGGGGGTTACCGTCAATCTCTTGACTGGGCGCGACTGTTCCCGCATATTTCTCAGTTCTTATTGGGACCGGAGGTTCTTGGTTCAGCATAAAACTCTGCGTAGCGTCTTCGACCCGGGCTTTTCTTCGGCGGACGAACCATAAACATAAAATAACAAGCGCGAGAAACGCTACTCCTCCGAGAACACCCCCAATTATTGCGCCCACGGGAATAGCATTGTTCGAACTGGAATCGGAGTCGGAGTTAGATTGCGAGTCTGGCGCAGGTGTTGCCGTCGGTGTTGTTGTCGACGTCGTCGAGCTCGAGGAGAAGCTGGCTACAGATAGAGCGGGTAAGATCAGTTTGCCCGTGGTTTCAAGATATCTAACGGTTTACATAGTTGTACCTTGAGAAATCTCGGCAAGCGGCAATGCGCCATCCGGCAGGCTTGCCCCAGATTTAGAACATCCGTCGGTACCGCGATAGTTGTAGCCTATATAGCCCTTTTCGCAGCAGAAGAAGCCTGCGTTATCAAACATGACCCACGATCCATTGGCGCATTTCGGGGTCTCGACAGCCGCCGCCGTGCAGTTTTTGCCGAATGGACAGCAAGCTACGTTGTATTGACTTGGACATTCCGTCGAGGAAGGGCAACAGGCGTGAAAGGGATCTCTGGTAACGCCGCAGTCAACTTCCCCAACGCAGGAGCCGTTTCTACGAATGGCCCAGCCGGAAAAGTCGCTGGCGGACATTCTTTGGGTTCGTGTACGAATACTTGGTCGTGTTTTCCGGAGGCGTAGAAGGTTTCAAGAAAAAATCATTTTCATCTCGACGGATGGGCTTATAGGGGGCTTATAGGATTCTTTAGCTACAGGACTAATGCTGTACCCTTGTATTACTATCATGGTCGGTTCTTTTGTATTTATAAAGTAGAAGTTGCTAGGATATAGGCCAATCATTTCCCATTTTCGTGTTCAGCTCATTGCAAACCGGCATTTTGTATCCGAGTTAGTGTAATTGGTGGAGAGCGCGAAGGTTTCCGAAGATATTACGAAGGGGATAGTCCCGCTCTTGGAGAGAGAGAAAGAGAGAGGTCAAGATAAGTTCATCTTACTGCTGATAGAGAAATGCTGAACGGGAGGAATAGCAAAAAGGTTCGAGATTGGAATCAGATGAAGATTGAACATTGAAGTTTTAAGTAGAAGTGGCGCTAGATCGAACGGGGTTAGAGATTGTGGCTATGTTCTATGCTAAGCCTGCTTATGCCAGTTATCTAATCATGCAGCACGCCAAGGTCACCAAAGCCAATCAACTAGAGTTGCTAGTCCTAGTTTTAGTGACTGTTGTTCTTGTGTGACGTAATTCGTATAAGTTCAAGTTGTCGTGCGACTGGCCATCAAGTCCAGTTATGCCAACATAAATATTCCCTGGAACATTCTCATTACTGCCTTATTTAAATACCTTATAGAACTCTTCTCGTCTGTATATATCAACTTCTCACTGAACATCATTAAAAACTTACCAAGTCATTGACGTTACATCCACAGCCATCATAAAACAGACCAAAGGTAAGCCCAAAGTCCTATTCAACGTACGATGAGCCAAACCACATACTTACTTATCAGTTCAACAGCTACAAACACAAGCCATAAACAATGCCACTTTTCTACTCTAAGAACTTCGGCGGCCGCCACTTCGGCACCAACGTCACTGCCGGTCGACACGGCGTACATCGAGGACCGTGGCGCTTCAGCTTTGGAAGGTTCAACTGCTTCAGGGCATAGTTATATTCACGGATAAAGAGATGAGAGACTTGAATCTGGTTCACGGCAGTATTGCGTTCAAGTACTAGGACTGGGTTTGAGGAAGTAATTTGCAAGATATTCCTGCGACGAAATGATGATGGATTTGCTGTAACGTACGGGTGCATGGGACGAGCTGCTTCGGAAGGGTTAGAATTACACTTGGCAGAATGGAGTTAGGACTCGCATGTATGGCTTATAAATTCTGGCGGTGATAACTTGTGTGGGCTGTCCTTTGTGACGTTATTCTTGTTATGATCCTAGGCAGAGATACCTATATAATGGATGTTATAGACTTGATATCTTTGTACCTGCTGTTGTGGATGTCTTCTCTTTCATTGGAGAACGTTGAGGAGTCTTGATCGAAAATTGTATACTCCATTTTACCACGCCTTTTACTACGAGCACTATATACGGGGGATTTTCGATTTTGTTTTTATTTTTAGAAGAGTAGTGCAGTGGTTAAAGATAAAGTTGAGCCTCACATCTCGTAGCCAGGATTCTAGAGATGCGCTAGAGGCTAGAGGCTTATTGATAGGGACTAACTGCGCTAAGACCCCGCAATAAGGTAATCATTTTCCACCGGGGGTTAAGGGGATAAGGAACCGATTAGAAACTTACTCTAAAATTCATAACGCGTAACAAATTAAAAAGCGAATCTGCTCGTGAGTTACCAAAATAGTTATTGATAGTGCGCCGTCACACTTGATAACCCTTCACGATGTGGTAAGCCTAGGATTTTACATATAAGTTTCTAATACGAAGGTTAACCGTCGTACAGCAAGCACGTCTTAAATGCTCAAGTTGCGATCCGCTCGCCATGCTGTACGTTCTCGAGATACTCCTCTGCGCGTACTATACCTACGAACTCTCTCGCGGCCTTACTTGTTTACACCCACCCCTTTAGGTGTTTACTGACGCTCCCTGCCTAGGTAAAAAATGGTTCGACTGCGCAGAGTGCCACCACGAGCAGGAGTCGCATCAGCTGCTGCAGAGCTTGGAGATGACGTTCGCCTGCAAAAAGTGCAAGAAGTGCTTCCGCAAGGACGCCCAGGAGTTCGAGGAGGCCGACGAGTACTGCCCCCACTGCGATAACCACTTCGTCATCGATGCCGTCGTGCCGAAGCCCGCTTTAACGGTCGAAGGCGAGGACGCGCGGATGGATAACCGCATGCTCAAGGACGAGCGGGTAAAAGGAAACCAGAACAGAACTATTTTCGACATCCAGAGCGACGCGGATAAGCTCGGTTGAAGAAGGGGACCCGGGTTATAATAGAAAATTACGACGAGCATGATTCTGGGTTGCAGAGCGATGCATTTACATGATACCACACATTTAGACTTCTAGGACAACAGAATGGCACCGAGAGACGGAGGACGATGCATGCTTCTGGGCGGGTAGTGTACAAATAGTGATATGCCCTATGATTCCTTTTTTAGAGGCCTGTAAAAGCTTTGGCTACGTCTCATGTTTAATCACTGCCACCTTGCTCTCTAGTCAAAATGGCCGCGCTACCTGTTCCTGGTGTCCGGCCAGTCTTCTTCTTGGCGGCTTCCTCCTGCTTCTCTTGTTCGATGTTCTTGACGTAACCCTCGATATCTTCCACCGGTAGCAGCTCCAGAGTCTTTCCGGGAGCCATGATGGCGATTTCGATGTTCTTCGCGCCCGTCTGCACGACTTCTAGTAGCGACTTGATAGCCAGTCGAATGGTTGCCTCGCGATCCATGTCTTCCTTATAGTTGCGCTCTAAGAATTCTCTGACCGTCTTGCTCGAGCGGCCGATGGCGTTTGCCTTCCTGTATAGCGTATTAGCACATATACTACCCTACCGCCGTCGTAGAGAACAAATATGCATACCATGCGGAGTAGATACCGCTCGGTTCGGTCTGGTAAAGTCTGGGTACTTTGCTGTTTTTGTCGAAGCCTACGATCATCGTGCTGATTCCGAAGGGTCGCACACCACCGCTCTGCGTATATCTCTGCTGTACGCCGGCAACGTACTTGGTGATGTACTCGATTGATACGGGATCCTCAACTGTGAGGCGGTGCGATTGCGCTTCTAGTCGCGCCTTGTCTACTAGAATTCGGGCGTCGGCGTTCAGACCGGCAAATGCGAGGCAGACGTGGGTGTCGATAAGACCGATCTTGGAAGGGGTAATGCGCGTGTCTTGCAGCTTCATAGCCGACCTCTTCTCGCAACCGAGCACGACGATATCTGCGCCCTTCACACCGACCGCGCAGGTACCTGGACGGCGTTAGCTTCGAGCGATCGAGCTGCTTAGCAGTGTTCGTACCTCGCTTGACAGCTTCACCGGCATATTCCACCTGGAAGACGTGTCCGTCCGGACTATAGATGCGTCAGAAAGGTATACTTCGTAGCGCCCTCATTTGATACGAACCTGAATACTGTAGGTATATATAGTTAGCTAAGCTGCTTCGTCGTTGGGAACGTTAGTCACGTTAGTTGGGAAAAAGAAACTTACCGGAAAGAGCTCTGTCGTATCCTGACGCCATGGTGAAATGTGTTAAAACCGAAAATGTCTAGATGGAGTGTGAAAAGGTGCGTGGGGAGCTGTGGTAAAGCTCAAAGAATGACTTGGGAATACGAGAGTACGCAAGGCTGCCAGAGTTACGAAGCTCCCTGCAGCCAAACGCTAGATGCGGACGCCTGAAGCTCAAGCCACAGAAACCACCGATTTGAGAAAGCTTCATGTACCTATGTACCTCCAAATAGCATGCACCGCCACATAAGGATCTCTTCAAGTACTCTTGATTACGTGATCAAGCTTGTGTTCCTAATTGGCTTATAAACACTTTGGTCATTATTCCCTTTTATATAACATGGAATTGATCTTCTAAATAGAACGATCTCATCAACATTAGCGACCAAATGGGAAGGCATCATCTACTGTACAAATCCATGTCTAACGGAAATTCATAGCCGTGCCTTAGTCCCCGTCCCGCCTCCGTTACGCCAGAGTTACTTTTGCCAATGTTACCGTACCTATCCAAACCGCTTGACATCAACCCATTTGTTCTCCTGTAAACATAAACTTACTTCCCGACCTTTTGCTTCCAATCTACCCTTAAAGCCGGCACACCATAGGCGTTCTAGCTCGCCGTCTCCAAAGCGTCCGATTCCATCATAGAACTCGTTCACAACCCAGAGGGGAGCAGCTAAGAGATCTGGCTGCCTCGTGGTTTGGAGGGTGAAGTCTAAACTTCGGCACACGTTTTCTACAAGGGTTCTCGTCTGAGGAGCCTGATATTTCTGGATATCTATCCCTAGAGGTATCTCAGGCAGCATACCGAGACTGCTGGGAGACCTCTTGCCCTCGGATTCGACGATGGTAGTTAGTATCGTGTATATGCACTGATGAAAGCTGATAAGAGCAGCCCAGTAGTAGACGTGAACCAATCCCATCAACGGCGAAGGGAAGTTGAATACGTTGGAGAAGGGCGCATGCGCGTCGCAATGCGTCGCGTCTGCTGTCCAGTAGAGCATAGATCCCGACTCGCTGGCCCTCTGGTGCAGCATGCTATACCAGATATCAAATTGGTGCTCGATGTTGACGCAGCAGTCCAAAAACTCCTTTTCCTTTAGGTGGTGAGAAGCGGACGCATCTAGGGATGTTATGCAGCTCGCTTGCGAGAAAACCGACGGTAAGAGAACAACTATGTCGAGAAGATCGTCGAACGGCGTTCTAGGGTGTCGTTCCCATGGTACGACGGTCCACTCGGGAGAGCAGAGGAAGGTCGGCTGACGGTTAAGCAAAGCCGCCCAAATCTGCCTCAGGCATCAGCAACCGCATACCCTCGAGCGGCTGTTTACTTACAGCACTGGGCCTATACACACGAGCAAAGAAATGGTGCTCTGGGAAAAACTGGTACGCGGCGGGGCCCCGGTCGCGGATCCGGTCGGCAAGAGTAGCAGAGCCTTTCCAAGGCGCCTCGCTACCGTAAGCGGCCGAGGAGTTTTGCTAGACCCCTAGTTCAGCAAATTTGTCGGTTAGAGGAATTCCGACGCACCTCGTATAAGAATACGCAAAGCCCTTCCGTGCTGGTACTAGTCGCCTGCTTATTGCTACTCTTCGGCGGTAGATGGATGAGACAGCGAGACTTCATGCTAAAAGGTTCGAGGCCGAACGTCGGGTTTACGTCGAGGGCGCGGAAACCCTTGAGTGACAACCTGACGTCGTCGTCTCTGCGTGGCGACCCGCTTCCCGGCCGAATCGCGGAGTCGAGGTCCGTCTGAAGAGCAACAAATCGAACGCGATGCGACCCGGCAGCCGACGACAACGAAATGACGTCGATCCACGCGGGCTGCCACGGCTCGGTAGCGATGAAATCTAGCTTATTTGCTTGCTGAATCTCCTTGCCTTTGGCTCTTCTGCCCTGCTGGTTCCGTGGCGGATGAGACGAACATCTCCCTTTGTCGTCCTGAGTACCGACTATAAATACGGTCTGGTTCGCACCCGACTATCAGCCATTTATCTCCACGATTTCTGAAACAGCTAGGATGTGCGAACGGAGAGTATATGGAAAGCTGACTTGGGGATCAAATTTGATGGGAGTGTATTCCTCGGTCGGACCAGGGGCCGGAAGTTTAGTTACTAACCTCCCTCTCGTATCCGCCGCATTCGCGACCATAATCTGTGCATTTCTTGCAAAACGGTCTCCCGTTGTCGCATGCGACTCGTCTAGCTCGGCAGGTATTACAGCCCTTGTACTTTCCAGGAACGCCGACCATGGTGAATATCAATATCTGTAAGACTTGTTAGCGCACTAAACAACACTAGCCTCATTACATCATACGTGCCCAACATTGGTTTGCCGAAAATTGGGGGGACAGACCTGTCAGATGGATACGACTTTAGGTCGTTTGCGATACGTCTAAACTCGTCAAACCTTAGAGGTAGGACTGCGTGTGGGAACCCGTGAGATATAAAGAATTTCCAGGGTTGGTACATTGGTCCTGCAAGGATAGCAATGCGCAAATTCGAGACGATCAGCCGTACATAAAATCTTGCACGACGCGGCTTAGCTCCGGCATCTACAAATAATCTACTCGTCCGGGGTCTCGTGTCTATATCAGGAAGCCAGCCATCGTCGACGCGAAGAGACGAGTATAGTAACGCCAAGGGTTTCTGACTCTCGAAATATCGATCTGGTTCTTGGTACACGGTAGCAGGATGTACCTTTTGTTTCAACCGTGGGAGCCCTATCAGCATGACGAATTCGCGCGGGAAAATCGAACCGACTCCTCGTAAAGAGCCGATACGATTCGGTTTGCGGAAGATCGTTCGTCCCCTGTATTGCTCACTATCCTCCCACCTGCGTGTCACGGTGTGTGATCGTGGTCGACAGGTCTGCTGGGGGCTTCCGTGGGTCTGACCTGCAGCCACACGCTGACATGGGAGTATCGTACGCCCTCGACGCCCTGTAGGGCTGTGCCGACAGGGGTGTAAAGCCAGAAAAACAGCCGCCGATAAAGCTACGATGTACCTAGTACACGAACGTATTATGGACGGGGACGAAATGGCGGGTTCGAAGCTTGATTCGACAGCGCGAGATGAAGGTTCTAGTGGCGTTCTTGTGCAACAGAGAATTGGCTCTAATCCTTGACCATCACATCGTCTACAACATCCCCCCAATAGAACAGACCAATCGTCTTGACCTAACTCGCTATTCCTCCCCACTGCTACCACCACCTCTTCGGGATTCGCACGGTTGGCACTCCCAATAGCGCCGCAGATGTTTCTTATTCTGCAATGCACACGAGCTGTCATCTCTTCCTCTGGCTAGCGGATATAGCGTCATGAGCATGCATCACGTGTTAAGGCTACGGGGGTTTAGTTTTAATATCCGTTCAATATCGATAATATCAACATGCTGACCGTAAGGTCGAATCTGAAGGTCTATCGTTTCCAAAAATAATTCGAAACGGACACTTAACTTGAGATACGAACTACACGTGGCATCCGTTTTGACCATCAGGCGTGGAGGTGTGCTTGGCTTCGCAGACATCTACCCTCGACATTACGGACAGGGCCTGGCCGGTAAACGGGACGTGGTTCTCCCGAGGCCGCAAGGCTACGTACTTCAGCCGACGTCTCCATGATCTTCGAATTACTCATATGCGCTAACAGCTATCAACTCAGCGTGTCCGGTTACACTGCCTACTACACGTGGCATCGGCCGTGACGACAGCTTGCTCTAACCTGCCGGAGGATGCAGAGGCGACAGGGGAAGCTTCTCCGTTTGGCTGCTACCTAGCGGTCATAAAGGAACACAATCATGACATTCGAGAGGCCTTCGGTCCCCGGTGTTTGGGTCGTCGTAGTCAACAAATACGATCCTCTGTCCTCCAATCCCGCAATCCATCATTCGTACCCTATGTCTATCTGCCTATCAGTCACGAATAATCTTTCCGGTTTCGACAGTCTTGGGTATTTCGACAACTGGAGAAGATAGAATCCTTATCCTAGTTCGATCGCTCACGGTCGAGAATTTCCCGAGTAGAAGGCCGATAGTGACCGTGAAAACAGGGGTCGTCGCAGAGTCGGCAGGAGATCATAAGGTGAGCTGGTAGCTCAAGTTGAGCCCATGACACTGGTCTGATTTTATCGTGGCTAATGCACTTTGCCAATGAGAAGTCAGCTCCGTAGCTCTCTAGCTATTTAGAGCATCACAGAAATGACTACTCGAGACATAGTCTGCTACACTAGACAAATTAGCTACTTCTAATACGAAATTAGAGTCGTGATCGAAGGCTTGGCAGTCAGCACACTGGGATTTGTGCATATCGCGTACGGGGTACATCCGATCCACGGCTCTCTGCCGTAGGAACTGACTAGCGAAAGGGTACCTCCTCGCCCTTTCCATCCGGCTTACTATGCTCGTCATGTAGCTCAACTAGTATCGATGCAACAACGTACCTCGAGCTAGTAGGGAGCCGAACGCATAGGAGGATGGGATGCAGTGCTTATCCATCCTACGGCACGTTCGTCTAGCCTGGGGGGTTCCCGACGGTTTGGAGAGCCACCCGGAGATATAGATGGCCTACCTGATCCTACTCTAGGATTTAGATGCAGATGTAGCGTAAGCTGGCAAAGAAAATACACGTTTCGACGACGGGACGTGGCGACTTGGTATCACATGTTGATGACATTAGAAGGGACGCGTCGTATCTTGTTTACCTAACCCTCAACCCACACCATTCTTCGGCAGACCTAAATGTCGACAACTGCTTTCTTGACATTATCGATGTGTCACATAAAACATCGAAGAACGCCGCCAGCGCGTCTTTAACAATGACGACACATGTCACCACGAACCGTTGAAGTACGAAAGGTAAAATCTCAGTAGTCGGTCCAAGCTAGTAACACGTGGGATATGCTAAATGCTCTCGTGCTCGACAGCCGCAAATTTGACCGGTTCAGATTCCGCTTGGATTTCAAAGGGCATCAAAATCTCTTGGAGATCGTGACTCGCAGGGATGAGCAAGCCAGATATGATAGACCTAGCCCAGACATCGAGGCGCGAAAGCTTGCCAGGGTAGCTGAGGCGAGCCAACCAAGCAATCTTAAGGACTGGCCTTTGACAGCAGACGAACGGCCTAGCTTAGGACTTGCAAAGTTTCTCCTCTCACATG